GATTCAGATATGACGGCTGATAGAGATGTATGGAAGAGCAGCACATACTGTGCCGACCCTCCATAAGGGATAAGGGCAAGTGGATGATGGATATATGGTAGAGTTTTTTTTATTTATTTAGTATTCAAAAGAATACAAATTTATTCTCTTTAGAATATTGGTATAGACAATTTTCTAGCATTTTATGGCTTTGATTTAAAAATACTTATTATATTATTTTAGTTAAAAATGTCCAACAGATGTTTTTTTATAGGCATGGGAAGATGAAAAAACAACTGATGATTATGATTTTGACAAAGACATGTTTTTACCATCACCGGTATGAATTATTCATATTTTAATACTAAGCATGCTTTTTAGTATTGTATAGTTTAGAATGCAACTAGTTTATAGTTGAAAGAAGTGGGTTTTAATTCTCTTTTCCATGCATTTGAATCACATAAACGCTAGGCAAGTAGTCTGTGTCCTTCTATGCTATATTCTACATGTAAACCAAATTTCATTAAGATTTGCAAGCAGTTATGGATATAAATAGTAACAAACATCTTACATATTTACAATACAGTAGACCCTCGATAACTCAGACCTCGGTAACTTAAAAAACTTCTATAACTCCAAAAAATAATATGTCCCCTTCCTATCAGAGTCCAAAACCTCTATAACATAGACCCTTAGTACCAAGGTTGCTGCTTCAGCAAAGGCAGCAGGTGCTACTAGGTCCCTCTCAGGGGTATTAAAAAAAAAACAAAGACCCTTGATAACTTAAAACCTCTATAATTTAAAATATTTTGTGTTTCCCTTGGACGTTAACTTATTAAAGTTCTACTGTAGTATGAAATATATCAATATTTACTTATAATAATGACTAAGGTTGTAAGATTTGATTAAAACTTTATGAATCATCACAACTAATAGATTTTTCTATTATTTCCACAATTTAATTAATTACAGGAATCAAAATTCAAAGTGGACCGATGGACAAGGAAAGAAGGAGGTGGGGGTATTACCTGTGTCTTACAAGACGGACGTGTGTTTGAGAAAGCTGGTGTCAACATATCTGTGGTATCGGGAACACTGCCTCCTGCCGCTGTGCAGCAGATGAGGAGCAGGTATGCCTTGATACTGTGCAGAGATGATCTTGATTCTTAGCTAATAATGTTTTAACGCTTAAATTCGCGTGGAATTAAAAAAAGTAAATAGCCTTTGTGTCCTTCCAGACTATTGTTTATGGGCATGCCAAATTTCTGATCTGTTTAGTTGAGGCTACAAATTTTAAATATCCATCTTAACTTTCGCATATTGGTGAGGTTCTCTTTAGTTTTATACATGTTCTGGTATATAATAAAGGGCACAAACCAGTGATGAAATGATTTTTCTTAGAGTGTACACACTCCTTTGATTAAATTATCGCACAACCGTTGTGCGATTGTCAATTGTTTTGCAGCCAATTCAATTAATTAGTTGCACAACTAAAAATCGAGTAGTGTGTCCACCTCCATATAACCTCATAGGAATCAAAGTGCGACTAAACAGTTTTGCGATAGTTTGATCAAAGGTGTGCGCACGCTCTTAGTGTAGATTCAAAAACTAAAAGTTACGTATTTTAGGCATACATTTTGTTCCTCTATGTTCGGACATTAATAATTATTTTCTTTTGAATGAAGAGGCAAGAACTTGCAATCATCAGAGCTGCCGTTCTTCGCGGCGGGGGTGAGTGCGGTGATCCACCCTCGCAACCCCATGGTGCCCACTGTGCACTTCAATTATAGGTACTTTGAGGTCAGGGATAAAGACGGTGAGTTAAGTGTGGGCTTACATTGAAAAACATGACTGATAATAAAGTTTTTCACGTGTATTTAAACATGCTTTTGTTTGTAACAGCATATAGTCTAAAATACTGAACTGTTTTCAACGAGTGAAGTGTCAATCTATTTGTGTTCTTCCCTAGAATGTTTTAGGGTCTAGAATCGCTTGTGATTATTGTTTTTTTTTAACTTCAACATTGGTATTCAAAAGGTGTCCAATGGTGGTTTGGGGGCGGGACGGATCTCACACCCTATTACCTCAACGAAGAAGACGCAATACATTTCCATCTCACATTGAAGGACGCCTGCGACGAACACGACCCCACATACTATGCCAAGTTAGTTATTTTAAGCATTGCATGGAAGACGAGCTCTTGCCCACGACTTCGTCCGAGTGGTATTAGAAAACATACAAACTATATGAATTACAAAAAGCTACGTATCCCTCGGGAACCGGACATATCTCGGGGATGAAGCTTATCCAAGTGTACTCCAGACTTTGTTTTATATCTGTGCCAAATTTCAATAAGATATGTTGAACCGTTACAGAATGATCGAGTAAACATTAAAAAACTAAATTAATGAATCCCACGGGAACCGTAACTATTCCAGGGATAAAAAGTAGCCTGTGTGTTCTTCCAGACTATGCTCTAAACCTGTGCCAAATTTCATGGAGATCCGTCTAGCCGTTTAGGCTACAAACGCTAACAAACATCCATCCATCTAAACTTTCGCATTTATAATATTAGTAAGATAAGTAAGATAATTTCTGACGCCCAGTAGGTTAATAGTTTTTTTTATGAAATAAACTTTACAGGTTTAAGAAATGGTGTGATGATTACTTCACGATTCCTCATCGCGGTGAAAGAAGAGGCATCGGTGGTATTTTCTTCGATGATATCGATTTTCCATCCAAAGACAAAGCATTTGCATTCATAACTTCTTGTGCGGAGTCTGTTGTGCCGAGTTATATTCCTATTGGTAAGTAAAAAATTAAATAATCTATAGATCCAAATAAATCTCTATTTTCAGAATATACTCTGATTGTTTTTTCGTTTGTAATTGCCAAATTGTTTAAAAACTTTTTAAGATTAACACACACAAACTCACAGACAACAAGACAAGCAGAAAATTAGAATTGTTGTGTTTAGTTTGATGTTGCTAAAATACTTGTGTGATTTTTTTATTTATTGTTTGAATTTCTGCCTACAGATTTACAGATACAATTTTTTTTATTACCCGACTAAGTTAGTGAGGTAATATTCAAGGCCTCAATGATCTCTATAAATGGATAGGTTAGTTAATTTTATATCTATGATTAGAATCCTGACCACTAATACCGCAACCGCCAAAACGGCAAGATAAATAGACATAAAATACAATGGTTTATAACCTATCCATTTATACAAGTCATTGGACATAGCCTAAACAACTTATTTTGACGAGTTGTACATTTCCCCTAAATGACATTAGAGTATTTTTTAATCTGTGGTTTTTATAGTACAAAAGCACAAAGACGACGCTTACGGTTACCACGAGCGTCAATGGCAGTTACTCCGTCGTGGTAGATATGTGGAGTTCAATCTGGTGTACGACCGCGGCACGAAGTTCGGCCTCCACACACCTGAAGCTAGATACGAGTCTATACTTATGTCGCTGCCATTAAATGCGGTGAGTGTTGCTAGGTTTTCGCATTCACAAATACTGAAATCTCTCTCTCTCTCTCTCTCTCCCCCCCCCTCTCCCCCTCTCTATCTCCCTCTCTACCTTCTGTTAAAAAACACTGTTCCAGTAAAATATGTAAAGTATCGATTTATTTTCTAATTTTTCACAGAGCTAAGATATATCTAGTTATTTTCGGAATTAATTGATATCTTATTCAAAACTTTTAAACATAACTGTGTATTAATCGTCTCTACATAGAAACTGAAATATTATTGGCTATACTATTCTACAATGTCTGTGAGGTATTTAATTATAACTTTGTTTAATATTTACAGAAATGGGAATACATGCACGAGCCTAAATTGAACTCTCCCGAAGATAAATTAATGAAAGTCCTAAAAGAACCCCAAGACTGGCTAAATATTGAAAAAGGGAAACGGACTGTGGGTTAATTCAGAATATTAAGTTTCACAAAATTTTGAGATGATTTATTTTTGTAAAAATTTTAAATGTATTATAATATTTGGTGTTGATTGATTGTTTAATTGCATTCCTTATTTATTTGTTATACGATAGAAGGGGTTAAATTCGCAGATGAAATTAAATTGATTATTGTAAAAACAGATTATTTTCATTAACTCTAACCTTTCCGACTTTCCACTTCAATAAGATTCTTATAGCTTGTTTTAATTAGTACCTGAAATCGTTTATGAAATGAAACTATAGGCACAAGCTATAACGTTAGTTAAACATAAATAGGAAAGAAAACAATTTTTAACCGTTTGATATAAAAACCACAGTTGAAAAATATCAAAACAAAACATTGTGTAATGGCAGTTTTGTAAAAAAAAAAATAGAAAGCGGCAACACTACAAAACGTCAGTTGTCATTCTGGTGATGGCTGTAATATTGTGGTTTTATAATTTGTGTTGTGTTTACTTGGCGATATAATTACTTAAGAAGAATAATTGCACGTCACTGAAACAACAATACGCTTAACAGTATCTAACTATTACGACATTCACGAGGTTGTGTTGGATGCAAAGAAGTGGCGCGGTTAACGGATGCATTTCCTCCATTCTTATGCCTTAAACGTATTGTAACGTTTGAAATCGTGATGTTATTGTTAATCGGAGGTAAAGATGCCTTTTAAGTTGAAGTTGAAGAAGACGCGTCAGTACAATGTAGCTTCGAAAAGCTTGTTTGTGATCAGTGTTGAATTGTTAGACGGCGGGGTTGCAGATTGCACTCTTTCCGTGGACAGCACGGGTCAGGAGTGCTTGGATAACGTATGCCAGCGGCAAGCGATCAACCAGCCGGAGTTCTTCGGTTTGCGGTACGTGAATCGTAGCCAACAGCCGCGATGGGTCCAATTGGAACGCCCTTTGAAACGCCAGTTAGACAAATACGCCTCTTCCCACCAGTTGTACCTTCGTGTAATGTATTATGTCATATCTGGCACCAGTTTGATTACGGACGAAGTCACGCGATACCATTACTTTCTACAGTTAAAGAATGACTTGATTGAGGGGCGTATTATCTGTGATTGTCAACAAGCAGTGGTATTAGCATCATATAGCCGGCAAGCTGAGTACGGGAACCATGACCGGGAGAGGCATACCGTGGAGTACTTGAAGAATTTATTGACATTTCCTAAACAAATGCTAGATGGAGGTCAGATAATTGATGGCAGTACATTGGCGGAGACGGGCCGGCTGGAGTGGCTTACGGCTGCTGTTATACAACATCACATGTCCCTACACAACATGTCACAGGTATGTAATGTATGATTTAAGTCATAAATTAAATGTTCTTTTAACTAGTATTGCAAGTATATTTCCAGATTTTTATAAGTTTAAAATATGTATGAAACAATAGTATTTAGAAAGTATTGATGGATTGTATGAAAGAGGATATGCTTAAGAAGGGAGTCAATTTAGTTATGACGGCTGATAGAGATGTATGGAGCAGTACATACTATGCCGACCCTCTTTAGGGTAGGTTAATGATATTTTTATGTATAGTGTGTACAATATTTAATAATTACTTATTTTTTAATTCATTATCAGTATCAAATAAATTAACCAAACCTGTTCTTAAAAACTGGTAAAGTTAGCACCAATTGAATTCTTGTTTTTGAGATAACAAAATCCAATTTGCTTGAAACTCCTGTTGCTTGTGACTAAATAAAACAATTTTAACTGCTGCTTTATGCTTATCCTTTTCAATACTAGTTATTTCTCTTTGACAAAAAAGGTAAGGAAACCATAGATTAACCAATAACAAAAAAGAATAGAACTTACATATAAATGTGAAAGGTTAGTAATTCTAGACAAGCATCTTAAATGTTGTTTAGATGGATGCTTGTCGCTATATATCTTTGGAACAGCTCAATAGATCTTGCTAAAATTTGGCATAGACAAAGTGAACTGATTAAGATTTTTTTGCATGGCCTGAATCGCAAACAGCTAATATTGGCATTCTTATTTTCAACACTGCGTAACAGACTGATGAAAATAAAATTTACATCTGTTGTAAAATAATTACTGTTATATATAACATCTACTCGACTTTTATCTTAAATCCATGCATCAAACATTTGTAATGTGACCCAGATAGTGCTAATGAGTCACTGTGACAATGATTTCCTAACCTGCATTAACTGACTTTATCAATTGTAACACTGATTAGAAAGTATATATTTTATAGTTAACTAGCTGTTCCCGTGCAGCTTCATCCGCATGAAATTATAAAAACTTTTATTGTTTACATTCAAATTATCAATTACAAATCTAAAACTGACATGACGACAACCTTGCTTCCTTGATGTTGGCAGCATCTTATAGTCTCTTTCCCACATTAGGGTTTTTATCCAAAATATTTACCCCCTAAGTTTAATGGTGTTAAAATATATAGCCTAAATCATGACGTAAGTGCAGGGCTTATTATTAAAAAAAGACTTATTCATAAATATACTGTAATTGTTGACATCTTAAGCAACAAAGAAGTGTGTGTTTACGCTTTATTATAATAGTATAGATTGTCCTATAATCTTACTAGTATAAATAAAAGTTTGTATGTGTTTATGGGTATGTAGGAAGGCTTCTACATGGCTGAATGGATCTTCATGTAATTTAGCATTTGGCACAGTCTAGAAAAATACATAGCCTACTTTCTTTTGTTTTTTAATTAAGCGCGGGAGTCGCGGGCGTTAGCTAGTACCCAATAAACAAATGAATTTTTTGTGGAATCTGTTTTTATCAAATTATGTGATAGTATGTGGCTTTTAAATTGTTATTATTGTTGTTGATTTAAACTGATTTTAAATACTATAGTGAGCGCCTTCCCCCACCATTGGCTGTTAGAGCCTCAGATAGCCTAAAAATAATGTCACTGTCAGATAAGGGACCAAAATCCGATTAATTCATCACATATTTTACATGTTAGATTGCTATCAGACAATTTAAAATTTGCTAGTACTAACATTTAGTGGTTTTGTTTGATTTTCTTAATAAAAAAATTACACAGAAACAAACATCAGGTCAGCAAATTTTTAATTAAATAACAATTAAATAAGGAAACCTTAATTCACACTTATTTAAGCTTGTAAGTCTCGAATTTCCAATAGGTATTAGCCTTTATGGCTTCTTAAACTGTTAATAAATAAAATCTTGTTGATTTTCATTCTCGTTACACGAAAGAGAAGGAAGATAAATTGATGAAATAAGGAAAGTGATAATGTTTCTAATTTTATGATAACCTCAAACTAAAAATATTTTTTGACGTCATTTCAGTATAATCTATACCTATACTATTAAAGCATAAACACACACTTCTTTGTTGCCTAAGGTGTCAGCAATCACAGCATATTTTCGAATAACTCTTATTTTAATAAACCCTCTACACACGTCACGCTTTAGGCTATATATTTTCACGCCGTTAAACTTAGGGGTATTTTTGATAAAAACCCTAATGTGGGAAAGAGACCATAAGTTGTTGCCAACATGAAGGATGAAAGGTTGCCATGGTTTGACTCATGTCATGTCATGTCATTTTGACATTTGCAATGAATAATTTGACAAATGTGAACAAAAAAATTAATTTTTATAATTCTATGCGGATGAAGTTGCACGGGAACAGCTAGTTCCATTTTAAATTAGATATTTTCTTTGTATTTGTCTCATAACCCTTCTATGACGTAAACCAGTTTACGCGCAAATTTAAAATTAGGTTAACAGTTATGGTGCTAAATATATTCCGTGCGTACTGGTATTCATTAATAAATACCATGGATATGAGTCAAACATATATCTTGTCAGCCTTCGTGCGTAGAATACTGGAATAGTTTTATGTACAATGCAAGTAAAACGCCATTCTAGTCATAAATGCTTATGGCACAATACTTGTTCTAGGACTGATTACAACCTGTTTGTCTAAATAACTGGCTTTTAAATACCACTCAAAGTGGTTTAATGGCAACTAAATATGGACATTTCTCATTGTACACTTAAATACTGGGTTACGTAGGTACAAGCTGCAAAAAATGTACATTAGGGTGTCTGTTTTTGTAAACGACGCTAGTTAAAGCCTGCTACACATATTCAGTTTTTACTCAACAATTGAAACTGTACAGTTATGCTGTGTATATAAGCTAAATTTATCTGTCAATTATACTGTATTGTGCAGTTAAAATTGACGTTTTTCGGGGTAATGATAGATCACTAGCATCCAACAATGTTCTTTCGCCCGCGTCTCATTCCTCGTGTAATTAAAAAATAAACAATAGTAAGTTGCCTATGTGTTCTTCTAGATTAACAATTACATCTAGGCCAAATTTCATCGAGATCCATGCAACAGTTTAGGCTACAAACTGTAATATCCATTCATCCATTTATCTAAACTATCGCATTTATATCTTAAGTAAGATTAAAATATGTTATGACCTAATTTATTAAAAATTCTCATTGAAATGGACAAGGGTTACGTCATTAAATCAGTCAGAAAAATTTTTCTATGAAAGAATTTCCATTCAAATTTCAAATAGTCGACGAATTAAGCGGATTCCGCAGCGCACGCGCTTTGCATGCCAATTGACAACTTTACAGGCTTTGCATCTAAATGAAAAACATTGTCATGCAAAACCTGCCTCTGAAACTAATTTCCAAAACTGAACTCGACAATTTAACGGTTCACTGTTAACTTTTAAATTTTAACATTCTGTGAAGATAAAAAACATGACTTTTTAAGTTTTGTAATATATTACTTTATTTTTGAATAATCCTTTATTTAATAAAAAGCCCTACACTTACGTCAGGCTTTAGGCTATTTATTTTCAAGCTATTAAACTTAGGAGGTAAATATTTTGGATAAAAACCCTAACGTGAGAGGGACCATAAGTTGCTGCCAACATCAAGGAAGCAAGATTATCATCATGTCATGTCATTTTGACATTTGTAATTGATAATTTGACAAATGTAAACAATAAAATAAAATTCTCTTAATTTCATGCGGATGAAGCCGCTCGTGAACAGCTACTTTAAGGATAAAAAAGATAAAATAGACTCTTCTATCAGACTATCCTCTACATTCATGCCAAATTTCATGAGGATCCGTTCAGTAGTTTACGCAGCTATAACATCCATCCATCAATCTATACTTTCGCATTTATAATATTAATAAAATAAATAAAATTAGACATGTTATCTTTTAGAAATACCAGACGATATATTTCCTATAACCACTTCGTCACTCCCACGTTCATGTTCCCAGGCGCAAGCTGAGGAGGGCTTCATCAGCGCATGCCAGCAGCTGCGGGGGTATGGACAGGAGATGTTCAGCGCGCGAGACCAGCTGGATCAGAGCGAGGTGACGCTGGCCGTCTCTCTCACTGGCATTAGAGTCCTCACGGAGACCAGCGACACGCCCACCTTCTACAGGTCAATACTTAATACAGTTGACGGGCCAGCACTTTAATAGCATTGTATTGTTGTTTTATAGACGGCTCTGTGTTTTTTCTCGAATATAGAAATGATTGCTCATGTAAAAAGACACAGAACCTTTCCCAAATACTTTAGTTACTAACTCCCCTTATAAGAAAAGAGCTTTCATAGGAGTTGCCAAGAGTAAGAACAGCTTCCTCCTTTCTCCAGAGAATGGTAATCCCATGAGTGATCTGAACTGCAATGGAGACTCGGGCTTCATGCTTATTTATGTAAATTGTTTTTTTACACATAGATGGATGGATATAACGAACGTAATCAACCATAAACGGACGTTCAGCGTGGAATGTCAGAGACCTTTGGGTTCAGCGGCGTTCGTCCTCCCAAGTCCTGAAGACGGCAAATACGTGTGGAGAATGTGCGTCCAGCAACACACCTTTTACATGAGGCATCGACCAGCTCTCACCACTAATGTGGTGCATGATGAACCACGACCTAACTTTCAGGTAGGTTTTATGAACTACCGTACACAGTCCATTTCTTCAATATAATATATAATCCAACGGCTCTCTAGCTTAAGGGCATTAGACGACTTATGCTGGGTTGCTAGTTTCCATTTTTTTTTTCCTAGTGATCCATTGTTAGGTAAAACCGTTTTTCAACGGAGTAAAACTGTTGTCTTATGAAACGGAAACCCATACCAAGTATTAATCGAACCAATAACTAATGAAAGGTTAAAAATAGCAGGAAAACCGGCAATAAAAGAGTTATCAAAATTGCCAAAATGTATTCTTGTCCCTATCATATGTTATAGAAATTTAGATAACGATATATTTGTAGATATGATTGAGCAAAGATCCGCGATGTTTATTTTGTCTTGTATTTAAGTTGGTAGGAATCGTTTAATCTCTTCAGTTAGAAAAATATTTTCTAACAACATATTGTGTACATCCAATTATAAGATAATCTATTTCTCATGCTGGGAACGGAATCACTCGATATCATCTCATTTGTCTTTCAATCGAGGTTATGAATTAAAAAATGCTGACAGCCTCATTGTTGCCAAATGTTACAATCTTTTGTTTCATACAATTTCGTATTTACTATCGCCATCGGTGCGCTCTGCTGAGTACCAACGTAGAACGTAACATGTTCATGTGCACGCACAACCGTATAGAAAGTAAGAAGTCTGTTGTGTATTAGATCTATTTAAAAAACTACTTGATTACGTGCAAAAAATCTGTTCAATGACGTAGAACTTGAGTGTTCTTAACACACTTTGTAATACTTTTACTAATGATTTCCTTTAATGGAAAACAACCAGTGTGTATAGATTAAAAGATATGCTCGAGAGCATTTACTTTAACTTAGGTACACTACGAATATCTACTCTAATAGTATCTTAATTTAACATAGTCAAAATCTTTTCATTTGTACACTATTAGGAGCACGGTTTATCTGAGAGCCGCGAGGAGTTAGACGTGCGGGAGTGTGCTGGGTTAGGGGCAGGCTCCCGATTGGAGCCGCTGACAGCCGCGCACCGCGCACACTCCACCTCCTGCCTAGAGCTGGCAGACCATCCTCCGCAGCCACTCCACAGAAACAGGTCCATATACATACACACCTGGGAATACGCGCAAATACCCTCACATTCGTAACGCTATGGTATTTTTTACAGGGCACTACTCCCTTCCTACAGGCCAGCACCTGACTACGAAACAGCAATTCAACAGAAATACCAGCAACAAAGAGCAGAGGCACAAATACGATATCAGAACCACCACGCACACTCACAACTCCTCGCCACCTCCGCCAAGCCACTAGTCTACGGCTCCCACCCCGACATCCCCGGCATACACTACCCCGACGTCACCCGACATACAGTCTCCGTCAACCAGGGTGTAGCCACCCCTGAAAACTACGGCCTCAAGTTCCTCGCCAACTACCCTTTTGCTGTCAACCCCAACGTCCAAACAGACCACGCCCTCCACTACGTTAACGTATACAAGCCCCCGCCTCCTTATCCCTCCAACGGTCTCGTCTCAAACTCTACCCCAGACCTAGCCGTCGCTAGCCAAGCTCTTAACTACCACAGGGGGTATATCAACAATCACGTGTCAGGCTCCAGCCCTGACCTCGTCTCCACCAGGTCCGCCCTCAACAGACAGTACCTCGGTTACCTGAACCAGGGTCATAACGTCGTCAGTTACGCCAGACCCAACCTCCTCCCCGCCACACACGGCACTTACAACAACCTCACATCAGTCCTAGACCCCAATCCCCATATAATTATAGACCCCCACCATATATCAGATAACATACAAAAAGTATACGACGAAAGAGGTAATATTATGTACTCGATGCCGATGAGAAGGATATCATATCAGCGACATCTAGTGTTACCTCAACAGCAGATAAAAATCAACGACACACAAGAACCGATATACGAAAACGTTCCCTTACCCTGGCAGAGTGAGAGAACAATGCGAGATAGAGCACAAAGTCTTACCACGACAGATGAGATAGCACGACAAAACGAAAGAAATAACAGCCATCCTACAATAAATAGCTACGGGAACCCTAATCCTATAAACCTACCAAACTACCGTCACCCAGTCAAAATTGAAACTGATAATCATTACGTGAACGCACAAATCATTAAAGGTGTTAGAGAAACCAGTGTGCCAAAAGATGAATCTAGTCGAACCAAGACTGAAGATCCTAACATAGCAATAGATAAGTTATCTATAAAAACAGACGAGAAAGATTACGATGAAACTCCATACCAGAGTCTGTCTACCCACAAAGTAACCAATATAAGTAAATCATCAGATAATGTGACCTCTATATCTATTCCTGATATAAAAATCGGTCAAAACAATAATATATCACAAACAAGTATAACAGACTCAAATGCAAACACAACATATACAAGTGTTGAGTTAGAAAACTCTAAAAACAGTGTAAGCAGTAAGGAGAAGAAGCGAAGACGTTGGGGAGTGTTTATGGGCAGGAATAAGAATGTAGAAGTGAAGAGTGCGACCTTAGGGAGGGACAGAGCTAAAGTGAATCAAACCCAACCTGCTAACAAGCACAGGTGGTCCACTGGATTGCCGAAATTCCAACCGTTACCTCCCAGTATAACCAAAGAAACTCTGGTAAGTGAATAATAAAATCACATACAAGTACTTTGTAAAATCTTAATAGAAATTCTTGAGTCTGGTTATTTAAACTTTGACTATTAAATGACAGGACCTGACTAGCCAACATACGTGCTTTTGTTTGTGTGCTTGTTTTGCTTTAATAGTGTTATAATTCTTTAACTTCTAGTGCCAATTGCTGGAACGCAAGATGTGCGAAGACCAACTGTCTTTCGCATTCGAGCAGATTCCTAAAGGACGTGAGGGGGCGGGGCACGCGCTGGCCACGCCCCCCGCCCCCTCGAGCGACGACCACCTCCCATATGAGGACAACCGCGTGCGTCTGCATCCCACACCTGACAACCCTCACGGGTACATCAATGCATCACATATCACGGTGAGTTCAACAAATATTTTATTTCTTAAATTCAGAAATTAGCTTTTGAATTCTTCCGTGCTGATATAAAAAAAAAACTTATTATTCTATACGCTATTTCAGACTTTATTTACTTTTTCTGTGAAATTTGTCTAGATCCATTACTTGCTAAATTAATAACCAAAGTTATAGTAAATTTAGTTAGGACTTACTGACCTACTTAGTGTTGTTTTACACTAAGAGTCTTATTTAACAGCAATAAAATTAAAAACCTAAAAAAAGTTCATCAAATCTTTAGAATTCACTGTCTAATTTCTATTCCCAGATGACAGTGGGCAGTTCGCAACGCTTCTACGTGGTGATGAAGTGTGGGAGTACTGGCGGGAGCAGTGGGCAGACCGCCGCCCACGTGTGGGCGTGCGTGTGGCAGGTGGGCGCGCGGCTGCTGGCGCACGTGGGCGACGACCCGCCCCCCTACCTGCCGCACGACCAGCTCGCTACTGACTACGGACAGGTAATATATTATAAATTTCTTGACTAGTAGGGCTTTTTTTAAAAAAAATAATTATTCAAAACTAAGCTATAATTGCTGACATCTTAGGCAACCAAGAAGTGTATGTTTACGCTTTATTATAATAGTATAGAAGTATTACAATTATTTATTCTTTACTAGATTTGTCAGGATCGTTGTATTTAAATAGTATTTATTACGTTTCAGTTCAACGTGTGCGCGGCGCGGTCGTCGCACGCGGCGTGGGGCGGGTCGGTGCGCGTGCGCGTGCGGCGCGGGGCGGGGCCGGCGGCGCGCACGCGCTGCCTCTGGCTGGTGCACTTCGCGCGCTGGCCGCACTCGCACCCCGCGCCTACTGACGTCACACTCTTCCTTGGTAACTACTAACTATTTATTATTATTGTTTATTAAAAAAAATCTAAAAAAAACAATGTCTTACAAAACTATGTATATATGTATATCTATACTTCTATACTTTTATAATAAAGCGTAAACACATTTCTTTGTTGCCTAAGATGTCAGTAATCACAGCATAATTTCGAATAACTCTTCTTCTTAAAAAGCCCTACACTTACGTCACGCTTTTGACTATATTTTCACGCCATAAACTTAGGGGGTAAATATTTTGGATAAAAACCCTAATGTGGGAAAGAGACCATAAGTTGCTGCCAACATCAAGGAAGCAAGATTGCCAAGTTTTGTCATGTCATGTCATTTTGACATTTGCAATTGACAATTTGACACGTGTAAACAATAAAATAATTTTATGCTGGAGAAATCTCACGGGAACAGCTAGTATCTATATAATAACCATTTCTTAAGTGATATGTATAATGAGTTGGCACGTGGGTTAAATGAGTGTTCTTGTCCAAGACGTGCCAAGTACTAGGCTTATTCATTTTGGCCTATTTGGCACACTTGAGTACATAATTTACTAGTTGGTTCTACGTATAAATTAATAATTAAGAAAATTGGAAAGACTGCAAAATATAGATGACCAGCTGTTTCCTGCAACATCATCCTCATGGGATTTAAAAATCGACTTTATTGTAGCCTATGTGTTCTTTCAGACTTTACTATACTATAGCAAATATCCATTGATTCATCTTTCTACACATTCGCTATTACATTATTATTCTATTTAAAGGAGATAAATAGATTTAAAACATGTTTTCCGTCTAGACTTCCTAAATGAGCTGAACGGTCTGCGGCTGGTGTGCGAGGCGGAGGCTTCGGAGGAGAAGCAGCCGCTGGTGTCGGGCAACGCGCCGCTGGCGCTGAGCTGCGCCGGCGCGGGCCGCAGCGGGCTGGCGCTCGCCGCGGACCTGCTGCTGCACGTGCTCGACACCAACCAGGTATACGCCCTGAACGATAGATGGCGCTGTTCACAAAAATTACTCAATATCAGAGGGCGCCACTTTATACGATTAATCTATAAATGCGCACTGCTGTATTAGACAACATTCCAAAAACCATGGATTTAAAAAGAACTTTATTCATAAAATATGATTTAATTTTGGTTAAGTAACTTAGTAGATTTTCAATGTAAACGGCTATTTTTAATTACCAGAAAAATGTAAAGCTAACAATCGCCGATAATGATCAAATTTTGAATAGATTCTCATACACTAAGGTATTTTTATTTGTATTAGTTAATTATACTTATTTGTAATTTAACGTTGTAAACCTCATAATACATTTTACATTTCATTTTTCTTTGTAAGCGATGTTTTTAAGAATAAAATATCTTTAAACCTAAAATATATCTATTTGACGTAACTTTGACTGGAATATTATGTGTTCCAGGAGCTGGACATCCCGCGGACTATCGGCCTGCTGCACCAGCAGCGCGCCGGCCTGCTGCAGCACGTCCAGCAGTACCGCTTCCTGCACCAGCTGCTGCTGCACCACCTCAAGAGGTCCAGGCTCATATAGACTGCACCAACATTACAATGACAACCAGTTCAATCATAGAAAAGTAGGCGAAATCGATTTGACGTAAAAGAAGATGGTTTATTAACTTTTTTTTATGAAAATGTCCCTTTCCTGTCTGTGCTCTGTATATACAGCAAGGGTCATTTTCTTAATCAGTTTTATTTTGTCCTCTTGTAAATACAGTGGAGGGGACAATCAAGAGACATATTTTTAATCGTCAGTTTCCTGTTTATTCTCCCCTTTGTCTGAGAGAACACATAAGTTGGGAAGGGACAATTGTGTAGGCAGAGGAGAGGACAGGTGACAGTATTGTGTAAAGACACAACCTTGTAAGTTATTAAAAACGGTCATTTTATTTGGAATATCAAATTTACATTGTTTTCTACCTCTGCTTAGTCTCATACGTACTAGGATTGATGAGGAAAATAAAATCGAAATAGATAAAAATTATCAAGAACGATATCTGTTCTATTTATTTTCTTTGTTTGATTGAAAAACAAAACTCACAAAAGTACAATATTTGAGGTTATAAAATTTTTAAATATATGATAAATCATTCATTTATAAAAATCGTTATATACATCTTAGGGCCTGTCCCACCACTGGCTAATAAGGCTCAGATAGCTTACAACGTCACTGTCAGATAAGGGAACAATTTCCATCACATGTTTTACACGTTGGATTGTTTTTAGACAATTTACAATTTGGTGGGAGTAGTGTATGGCCACGCTGTTTACTTGTGTCATGGTGTCATGCCAGCAAGTCAGTGGTGTCCGAGCCACTAACAGTACAGTGGGACAGGACCTTAATCTTATATCTATACGTATTCTATTGTAAAAAATATATAAACTTAATAAAATTGATTTAATGTTATAACATTGGATTATGTCATATCAAAATCGTATTAAAAAGTATTATTTTAGACAGGGTTTGTGCCTAAACTAAATGTTTTTATATGCAATAAATATATCAATTATAATGCGTTTCAAATACAAATATGTTAAAAACATCTAGTAAAAGTACAGATTAAAAAAATGTAACTCGATTTTTAAAATGTTTTTGTTGATTTTTTTCGTATCGTGACGTCATAATTTAGTTCGATTTTCAAATTTTATTTGGAACGCATTATATTTAGTTTTTAAGTGTAATATGTGCCTTTTTTAATACTGATCTGACATGTGCCTTTTTATTCATAATTAAGGTTTTTAAACTTATCTAGTTTAACATAATTAATATTTTTATAATTCTGTCTCTGAAAAGGTCAATACAGAAATCTATACTAATATTATAAAGATTTTTATTTTTGTATTGAAATAACTCAAAATCTACTGCACAGATTTTTAAAAAAAAATCACTATTAAAAAGCTACGTTATCACTCAGTAATATTTGCTATGTAATTTTTTTAATTGTACGCGGATGAAGTCGCGAGAAACAGCTAGTATATTATAAAATATTTTAACAATATAACCATACTAAAATATATGCAATTCCAATTAAAGAAAATCCACGTTTTGTGTTATTTCTTCCAACGTTATTATTTGAATGTCTTTGCTTTTTATTTAATGAACTAGCTGTTTGCTGCGACTTTGTCCACGCAATATTAAGATATAAAAGTATCTTATAATATGTCCGTATATGTCAGTTACCCTTTAGTGAAAGTCCGTTGAAATCGGCCCAGCCGTTTTGGAGGTTGCCCGGAATAAACGCGACTTGCGGACAGACAGACAGACAAAAAAATTTTAAACGCGATTTTCGTTATCAGCAACGTAAATACATCTTCCCGAAATCTGGATTTTTTCCTTTGATATTACAGACACTCCAATTTTATTATATGTATAAATAAACTCTTAGAGTTACAATAATTCTTTTCACCAATAGAAAAGTACATTTATATGTTTTTACTCGTTATTTAAAAAGTCGCAAAATACAGTATTGAATAATCGTGTTTTAAATATAAAAATCATTTTTTAACAATGTTTCTCGTATTGGTATCAGTTTTGGTGCATTCAATGTGTTCAAATCACTTACATGTATTTTATTATCTAGTCGATGGCAGCTACATTTTTAAGTTGTAAACTTAGTTAACTTCATCACTTGAGACTTTATTTATACTTGTCTCAGTATTTTAATCTGTAAATGATTTTTTTTTTATTTTTAAAGTTATTTTACATTTTTCAGTATTTTAAAAGGAAATTCCGCACAAAAGTCTGCAAAAAATTCATTGTTTTAGATTTTGAAGGCAAATGGTTTTGCTTTCTTTTATTTTATTTTTAATTTGAAAATATGTTTAACTGTGTATTTTGTAGTTTGCTTCAATTGTAGTTTTTTTTATGTTTTTTTTTCTGTATATTAATGTTAATGTATTTTTTTTGTATTAACTAAATCTTTGTTCTTAGATTTAAAATATTTCTCGTTGATTAACTGCATATCTCATTTTATATTCGTGTTTGTATTTTTATATTATTTTAGTGTATAACATAATGTTGTGTAAAATTCGCTCACATCTGTTGGTAGCAGATTTGTGTAGATATTGTATACAATGTGTAGTCGTGTTTGATGTCGAGTCATTGAAATCGATTTTAATTAAAATAATGTATTAAATTTACAATAAAATTGAATGAAATTTGTAACATTTTTTTAATTTACGAATACCTATTTCGTTTTTTTCACAATTAGACAAAAATATTTTGTTAAATAAAGCTTTTTTCCAGGTTCTTCAAATAAAACAAATAAATTGGTACAGTCTATTTATTCTGTATAAAATATTAATCTATCTTAACCTAAACCTTGCGTTAGGGGGGTGGGTAATAAGGTCTGGGGGGTGGGCCGGGCAGCAATGTCCTGTGGAGGGGGCCGCGCGTCGGCATTGGGGGGAAGTAGTTGGGAGGCGGGACGCTGACGGGAGCGCCGAAGCGGGGGTGACTTGGGGGTGGTTCCCGGTATGATAGTGGAGGCAGGGTATGTGGTGGCACCGTGTGTGGAGGAGGGGGATGAACAGGGGGTATAGGATGCATTGGGGGTGCAGGATGTGTGGGAGGAACGCTGTGAGGTACATGGGCAGGGACGGTGTGCATCGCTCCGGGAGGAGGGGCACTGTAAACTGGAGGTGCGAAAGGTATTCCAGGATAGCTGGGGTAAGTGAACCTCAATGGCTCCATTTTAGGCGGCTCAGGCTTCGTCTCGCCTCCGTTTTTGAGTGGCGTGGTGACAGGTTTACTCGCGACAGCGGCGACAGGCGACGCGGAAGCGGGCGGTGTAACGGAGGGCGGCTTCTTCTCGTTTTTTGGCTGCTTGGCAGTGTTCTCATTTGGTGAATCCCCACCAGATTGTTGCGTTTGAGGTGAGTATAAGTCTAATACCTGTGGATTTTAGACAGTTCAGATAGTGCAAAGGTTGAAAATATAGACAGTACAATATTTTGATAACCAAAATAACTTTTCGGATTAAAGATTTTAGAGCTTTGGAGGTGCAGTTAAGTACTAAATGGGAGGAGACCATAATCCTATAAATCCAGATCTTACCAACACCATGTACTAACAAGTTTATCAAATTTTATTTGTACATGACATTCTCATTGTCGAAGAAAACATGATACACCCTGAAAATTTATATGAAGAAACTTCAAAGATATGTGTAAAGTCAACCCTCTGAGGGTCTCATGGTCTAAGGCATAGTCAACTAAAACTTAGATTCCGAACTCCTCAGTGGGGACATATATTGTACTTGTAATTTGCAATTTATCATACAAACCTGATGACAAATATCCTCCAGTAGGTCCGTAGTGATGTCTTCAACAAACATGTCCCACCAGGCATTATGTTTTGGAGTGCGGCCATTCCAGTCCACTATTTCAAACTTGCTCAACTTGCCTGCCAGGAACATGAGGGCCACTGCTATCACTTCCGGCTCCCATTGCAGGCATAGTGTAGTACATAAACTGAAGAGAAAATACATATTTGTTTAAAAAAACTAAACTATTATGTATTCAGTCTTATATTGCTTAAAAAACATTAAAAATATTTGCTTTTCTTTTCAAAAGTTAGTTGTTAATTAAAACTATGTGTTACAATAATTAGTAAAGTCTAATTACTTACCTATCATTAACAAACGTCCACGCCATCTGCACCATTTTCTGTAACTTTGATTTATCTCCTTTCAAACATTTTGCATACTTTAAAAGGTATCCATAGGGGTGTTCGACTTGCAAATCGAACTTTATCGTCTGAAGCAAAATCCTTTCTAACGTCATCACCTCCTCCTTAGGATCATCACCGAAACTACTAAATTTTTGTTCAGATATCAAGGGCTTTGCAACCTTTATAATGTCCTTGCACTTTTTAGGTGTTTCTTCCACTTTGCCCGCAAGAAACAGGCAGCAGCACGCCGTGATATACCTTGGGAATGTCTTGAAGGAGTGGAACATGTAGAATCGGTGGAAGTAAACAACACCCGTAGCAACTGTGTTATAACCTAAATCCATCTTCGATCCCGTGTCAATAATAAACCTTGCACCTTCTTTTCGATACCGATTTTCTGTTTCAGTGCTAATTCCATCGCGAAATGACGGCGTATTCTGCAGATCCTTCTTATCGTAGTACCAATAAGGCATTATTGATATATAAAAGTAAAAAATATTAACTATTTATCACTACTTCTCGAAAACTGACATTCGACGTCAAAAACGATTATGTTATTTTAGGGATGTAATGTTTTGTAAATCTTATTACCAACAATGTTGCTATACGGAACAGTAATGTAATATGAAAAATAATCCGTCCCCGTATTCAGTTTAATTTCCACTTAGAATTACAATTCTAATAAAATTTTGTCAATCTATTTTATAAATATTTATTTTGATATGGTGCTAATATAAAAGAAACATTGGCAAATCGGGACGTCAGGTGATTACAGTACAACGATGGAACATCCCTAAGATATTTTTTTAAACACATAAATTAACAAAAAACTGTAAAGAAATATGAAATAACCTTGTAACATAACATAACATAACAAAATAATAATATATTTTTGTCAAAAAATTAGATAGCCGTGAAATATAACGATAAGAATATTATGATGATTGGAAACCGTATCTTATATTACTCTCGAACAGCATAGAATTTATTAATATGTGAAAAAAATGTATTTCACGAGTATTGTATTACAAATAATTTTTTAACAATGCATCATTTAGCTGATTCAACAAATCTAATTTAAGAAAAAATAACTAAATTTTCCGTGGTCGCGTTGTATAACAACGCGTGCGCAAAAATATTAAGTTCAGGACTTGGTCAGGACCTTTTACTTAATTGGTATATTTTTGTTTGATATTTTCCGATTTTTGACAAAATGTATATCTTACATAGCTCCAGCTGCTTTCTACATAACAATAAATGTAGGAAGAGTACATGTTGTTGTGTCCGCATAGTACATAACTTTATTATCCAGACACTTCAATATTTGAATATTTTATTTAAATACTGCACTTTGTGCAAGAAATATATTTTCTCATAAATATAAGTAATTTTGTTGGATATTTTAATGTAGTATTTATTCATATCCGATTTGTTTTCTTTTTCATGATGTTTTGCGCTGTGCGTTTATCGCAAAAACGATAGTTACCCAATAATGTTTACAACTCGAGTCCTGATTTATTTGCAAACATTATTTTTTTCAAACTTTTTAATGCCTGTAAAATGTTGAATTTGTGGTGCTGAACTAGAAGATGTAACGATATATGTATTTGAAATGACAAATAATTCGACCTCACGCGAGAGGCCAATACCTTATCTCAATTGCTAATGTAATGCCCGCCTCGAAAATACAAGTTGCGCTTACGCCAGTCAGGCAGTCGACGTCAGACCAAAATGGCGCTTCGAGTAGGTTTTACATTTGTAAAGTTAAATTCACTACGACAAGCTACTAGGGTGAGTTATAATATCCACCTATTAAAAGATAATAATAAAGAATATTTATGAGTATAGTATGAAGAAGTTATAACTAAAAATTAAAAATCTTTTTAAGCAACAAAAAAAGTTGTAGCTACCAGTTTGTTATAAAAATTGTGGTTAGCAATAACAAGTTTGGAAGCAAAGTTAAAACGTCGAAAACAATTATGAAACACCTTTTTGTTATTTTTTTATTTAAATTAACTTTGATTTCGTTTATAATTTTATTATTTACTTTTTCACCATGCAAATCATCTGATATGTTATCTGTTAAGAAGCACGGTACATTTGAAAATAACCCTTATTGCGATGAGAAATAACTAGTTTTTCATTTAAATTTGTTATAGATTCTAATCAACAAGATAATGCGAATTGTTTACATTTGTTTTAGTCGTTCTTTTTTAATTTATGAGGCAACTTATTGGAAAATAAAATGAGGACTCGTTATTATGTGTAAAATTGTATTTTAATTTAGTTTTTCATGCCATAAACAATTCGAAATAGAGTTCTTAAACTGCTTAAACGATGAAAATAACGAAAGCTAGTGAAAGTAAAAATAACGTTTTAATTTATAGCTTCTATCAACACACACGAGGCCGGATGTGTGTCAGAATGGAGGAACATCCGATTTTCCGGGTGCTAAAGCTCCCTACGTGAATGAGATAAAGTTTCTGAACGAGAACAGTTACGACCCCATACCTATCTATCGAGTGATGGACAGCAACGGACGAGTTATCGATAGTAGGGAGGAGCCGAATATCGACAAAGAGACATTAATCAACATGTATAGAAATATGATCCAGTTAAATCAGATGGATAAAATTTTATACGAATCGCAGAGGTAATTTTATTTTTTATCACTAACGAAACTAAGAAAGCACTACACGCAATAAAAAAAAATGAGTATTTAATCATTAATTAAAGTGACACGTTTTATTGCTAAGTGAACTCCTGAGTTTTTTAGAATATTGTGTTAAAAGTATGTAATTAATGTTATTGGGAATGCCGCACTTCACTAACCACTAACCAGTGACAGAAGAAAGGATGTGGGCGTGAGCGTTGATGTTCTAATCGATCTAGTGCTGCGTCGCTACATCGGAACGGTATCGATTGTCGTTTTATCGGTAACAATAACACTTTCAGACAAGGTCGCATATCCTTCTACATGACGAACTACGGGGAGGAGGGTATCCATATGGGGAGCGCCGCAGCCTTATCCCCTCGGGACATGGTGTTCGCGCAATACCGAGAAGTCGGAGTACTCCTGCAACGGGGCATGACTGTCACCGAGCTGGTGAACCAGTGTTATGGCAATTGTGAGGACCTTGGCAAGGGACGACAGATGCCGGTCCATTATGGCAGCAAGCAACACAATATTGTGACCTTATCCAGTCCTTTGGGTGGGTGAACTGTTCAATTTCTTTTTAGCATTAAAGCAATCTAAGGATGTTAAGGTTTTACGGTTAAATGAAGCCAAACAATCTTAAGCTTCTTCTTCTTCTTTCGTCAAATTCTTCTTCAAAATACAAGTCCACGATCTCCTTTTGAAATATGCATAAACTTATGCTTTAAAACTAAATAGTCTACCAATAGATGGTTTCAGTCTTCTAGCTACTTGTTAAACTGTCTTTTAATCCCCAGCAACTCAGATGCCCCAGGCGGTGGGCGCAGCGTATGCACTAAAGCGCACGCCTAACAATGACCGCTGCGTCATTTGTTACTTCGGCGAAGGCGCGGCCTCTGAAGGCGACGCCCACGCCGCCTTTAACTTCGCTGCCACTCTTGACTGCCCCATCATCCTCCTATGGTAAGAATGAAAATTAATAATTCTTCAAATTATTCCAAGACCAACATAACCTATAAAGCTGAGATAACGAATTTCTATGAGATTTTAATTAAATTAAAAGTCATAAAGGGAAATTAATTCTGTCAGAATTCGGATCTAAATCAAGTTTATGCTTTATTACGGAAAAGCACAAAAACTCAGTGAAACGTAAACAACTGTAATTCAGACAAAAACAAAAACGAGCTAATTAAATAATAGATTAGAAGCTTAAAGATCACTTTTAGCAGAAGCTAGAAATAGAAATAGCAATTTCACTTATCACATCCTCTACCTTATCCTACTCCCGTAGGGGCGGCACCTCGTCCTCCAAATAACTATCATCCGTGTTCTCATTCACTCCCTTCTTAGGAACCTTTATCTACTAAAACTATAACTTCTTAACTATAACTTCTGATCTAAACTCTTTACATAACAGTAGAAACAACGGCTATGCGATATCAACACCTTCATCGGAGCAATACAAAGGTGATGGTATCGCAGCGCGCGGGCCCGCGTTCGGTCTGCACACCATCCGAGTAGACGGCACCGACACGCTCGCCGTGTACCGCGCGGTGGCCAGCGCTAGAGAACTGGCCGTCAGTAATAAACCTGTGCTGGTGGAGGCCATGTCTTACAGGTTGGTTGATCCTCGCACATATAGAATAAAATACATATACAAAAAAGCGTAGCGTAGACAAGAGACTGGTATACTTGCCGATGCTAGTCTACTTTTAAGAGTTTAAAACGGTCATATTTATTTATTTGCCCTCTGTTCTTAAATCCACTTCACTGTCTCAGATTTATCTAATAAGGAAAATTTAGAAAAAGTAATTTTTTACTCATAAAACGAAATCCAGAATACACTTCACACCTGTCTTCTGTAAGGTGGTATTTTACTGATCCGTCTATTCTGCAACGTTATTGCAGCCTCTTCAATCATCATGTTTTCGACTCGTTCTTCCACGTTCTCTTCTTTTTCTTCTAGAGTAGGACATCATTCTACTTCAGATGACAGCAGCGCGTATAGACCAGTTGAAGAAATACAAAAGTGGGCGAAAGATGAAAGTCCGGTACAGAAACTACGGCTTTACCTCGAAGGCAAAGGTAACATCACCCCAGCAACGAATGATCTAATAAATGTCGTGAGCTAGTGAGCGAGTGAGTGAGTGATTGAATTACTTAGAGAATGAGTTCTTGCTAATCACTCATGAACTGATTAACTAATTAAGTCTAGAATACTATTGCTAGTAAATCTTCTGTAGGGTATTGGGACGCGGAGGCGGAGACGCAATGTGTGAAAGAGGCACGAGAAACGGTGGTCAGAGCGATGCAGCACGCAGAAAAGAAGAAATTGCCGCACTGGAAGGAAATGCTAGAAGATGTCTATTACGATATGCCACCCAGACTACAGTTAGTATTTACATCTTTTATTAATTTTCTTTTTTCTCTTTGTTTGTAAATTAAATTCAGACTTCATTGTCACAATAATAGTGAATTAAAATGATGAATGATTATTTTATTTGGACACAGATCAATAATTCAAAAATCTTAAATTAATCGACGAACATCTATTAATTTAAATGATAAATCATGTCCATTATTTATAAATCATTTTGATCAAATATAAGTATCTATTTATTGGATAAAATTAATAAACATAATTACGTTTATTTGCAGAAAACAAATGAAAGAAATGGAGGAGCATCTCGAAAAATATCAAGAACATTATCCTCTGAACAAGTATTTGAATGAATAATATTGTCACGAATAGCAACAACAAGGCACGGAAGAAAATTCTCATTATTTACGATTATTGTTACACGCGAAAACATGGAGTTTTTTTTAAAATAAATGAATTTGTTTTACATTTTAGTGTCCTTTTTTAATCCGTCCTATACTTTTCCTAATATTTTTGTAATTTTCCTGTTAAAAAGCAGGGGGTACTGTTATTTTTCAACTTGTTACGGTATTTAAATTAGAATTGGGTGGAATCTAAAAAAGGAAAAGGTTTTTTATTCAATAAGTTCAGCGCTTAATAAATTTAACCTTATGAATGTCTGCGTAAAACGAAATAATTATGTCAATGTCACTTATACCTGTCAACTTATCAAACCCATGTTTGTTTTTGTTTACAATTTGCTTACGAGTACCAAAATAATTTAATTTTTAAACATAAATGAATGAAATCGATAAGACATGGCTGTAGATTTAAGTCATAATATTCGGTTTACACGTACTGATGTTACAGCAGTGAAACTTCATAAGGAATATGTTCTAGCAGGTTTGGTTATATTTATAAAATCGAAATATTACTAAAACGTGATTTTCTAACCTTTTTAGCTTATACCATAATTTGTTCGTAAACAAGTTTTGTTAATAAGTATTAAATAATAAAAATAATGTTGTTAACAGGAATTGGTAGCTCCCTTTACATCTATAAGAAGGATACTTTGAAAGTTGTTTCAATTCATGATAAAATACTTGAGGGTCAAAAAATATATGGGATTGAGATCTTTGAAGATGGTTCAACGTTATTAATATTCGGTGGTAAGCAGTATATAGTTTTAAAGAGGTCAAACCAAGAGTCCCAGTTATTTGATTTTTCTCCAGGAAGTACAGTTTGTGATGATTGGCTGCATAGTGGGACTTGGTTGTCTAGCACCAAAGTTGCATTGTTAACAGCCCATAATGTTGTCCAGGTAATCTTAATATTATCCCAATATTTATTTTTAAAATTGCAAATCTTTACAAATAGGTGGCTTCTGTTAACTACCGTTTTTATCTGTCCCTAAATAATCTATTTATACAGTAGAATCTCGATAACTTAAACCTTGGTAGCTTAAAAACCCCTATAATTCAAAAAATAATATGGTTCCTTCCCATCAGAGCCCAAAACCTCTATGGTTTTACTGTATTTTAAATTGGTTGCTTATTGGATATAATTTTTATGAATGCAATATGTAGATGTATAATTAAATTTTTAAATTAAAAAGGTATTACATGTGAATTATTCCGCAACCATGGCATTTAGCAACCGGCATGTCAGATCAATCATACTAAACATAATGAATCAGAAAACCTGTTGTTTGAGAAAAAATTAAAAAAAAAAAGATAATCAGATTTTACTTTCAGATATGGGATGTTTCAAAAACACCTCTCCTGATATCTCAAACAATAGGCAAAGATAACTCAATCCTGTACAGTGGACTGTTAGTACCATTGGCTGATGATGTCCTGGTATTTAGTGGTACAGTTTTCTCACAGATTATCATATCTAGATGCAAAAAGGAGAAACCTCTTCATCATTTAGACGGACATAAAGTATGTTATTTTATCTATACTGTAGTATCTTACTTTTTACTAATATTATAAATGCGAAAGTTTAGATGGATGGATAGATGGATGGATGGATGGATGTTTGTTAGCGTTTGTAGCCTAAACGGCTGAACGGATCTCCATGAAATTTGGCACAGGTTTACAGCGTAGTCTGGAAGAACACATAGGCTACTTTTTATCCTGGGAATAGTTACGGTTCCTGTGGGATTCATTAATTTAGTTTTTTAATGTTTACTCGATCATTCTGCAACGGTTCAACATATCTTATTAAAATTTGGCACAGATATAAAACAAAGTCTGGAGTACACATGGGATAAGCTTCATCCCCGAGAATAGATTAATTTAATTCTTTGACATTTCTTCTCCTGTACAGTCTTACATGCAGTTTGGTTCCAAATCAGTGAATTTTTTTTTGTATTACAGGGTGTTATATTTTCCATATCATGCTGTTTAAAAAAAAGAATAATAGTGACAACTTCCGATGACAGATCTGTTAGAATATGGTCAGTTGGTGGTATTGAAAATTGTACAATTGCCCAATATTGGGATTGTGCAAGTATCACTTGTGTACACGAACTATATGGTCATAGCGCTAGGGTGATGAGAAGCTGTATAACTGATCAATATATTGTCTCAGTTGGTGAGGATTCATGTATTTGCTTCTGGGGTGATGGTATTTTATTAAAAAGAGTAAATCACCATCAAAACGCACCAATATGGTCAGTTAGTGCTGATGGTGATCATTTAGTGACAGGAGGTGGTGATTACGGAATTATTTTACACCCTTTATCAACAGTTACATCGTTTTCTGATTCCGAGATACTAAAAATAAGTGAGGGTACTCCTAAAAAAATAGTTTTCACTGCAAGAAGAAATGTGGTGATCTTAAAAGAATGTGGTGATTTGATTTATTATAATATGATTGAGAAAAATGAAACACTCTGTGAATTAAAACACGAATCGACATATATAATGCTAAGTATATCTTTGTGCAAACAAATTATAGCAATTGCAGATATGTGTGGTAATTTAAATGTTTTTATAGAAAATTGTAAAGGCCCTGCTTATATTTCTAAAATAATCAGTACTAAATTGTCTATAGATAAAATTTTATCTATGGATTGGGCTGGGAATAGACAATTAATAATTTGCTCTGGAAGTGAGATTTATGTAATAGCTGCTAAAAGCAATGATGTAGAGATCATCTCGAAACATTGTCTACCGTATTGCAAAGAGAGATGGCTAACAGCTGCTATGATTGTAGACAATCTATTAGTTGTTGGAGATAGATGTGGAAATATTCATTTTTATATGAAAGAATTCAATCCTATTAAAACTTTTAATAAAGTTCACGGTAGGTATGGTCCTACATCTATAAAAATGGAATCAGATGAAGTAATAACAACTGGAAGAGACGGTACAATAAAATATTTTTCAATATCAAATAACGAAAATCGTATAAAATTAATAAGTTCACAGGATGTAGGTTTTCCGTGGGTGGAAAAATATCTAAATAATGGTTTAATATGTGGTTTCCAAGAAAGAACCTTTGTTATTACTAATAAAAGAAATAATACAAAAATAATTGAAGTGCCATGCGGTGGTGGCCATAGATCGTGGGACATTGTTTCTTATTTTGACAAAATAAATGATAAATATGAAGACATGATAAAACTTATATATTTAAAACATTCCGAATTAAATATAATAACGTTTCAGTTAAGTAAAATTGTAACTAGAGATATTATAAAAGGTACACATTCTAAAGAAATAAATTGCCTGAAATCACATATCCTGAAGTTCGATGGGACTAGAATATTATTTATTTCCGGTGGTGAAGATACGACATTAAGAATATCTACTTTTATAGAAGATAATTACCAAGATGAAGCTATTTTAAAACAATTGTCTAGTGTAAAAACTTTAAAAACGTATATCATAAATGACAATAAACTTCTAATTGTTTCTGGAGGAGGTAGAGCACAAATTTGTATTAAGTCTGTTAATTTTAGTAAAAACAATAACGAAATTAATATCAAAGTAGAAGAATTAGTTGATTATTTAGTTAAAGGTACAGATAAAGAACGCAAAGGTGATAAAACATGGAGAAACTGTTCCATCGATTTTGATCCAGAAACACGAATTATGGATTTAGAAATAATTCAAACAGACAAAGACACTTATAACATATACACAGGATGTTCCGATGCGTATATACGAAGTTTTCAATTGCAATACAATGAAGAAGCATCTTTTAGATATTTAGGACAAGTAAAATATCACAAAACTTGTATTTTAAAAACACACTCTATAAAATATTTTGATCAAATAATATTAATAACTTGTTCAACGAGAGGTGAAATTAGCTTTTGGGATGTTAATGAAATGAAAACATTTCTCGTTATAACGTCTAATAAATCTGGAATCAACTGCATAGCAACAAGAATCATTTCCGAAGATAGTATAATCATTGCTACTGGAGGTGATGATAATACTATACATATAAAACTTCTCAATATCCAAGATAAAGATTTTAAAACAGCGAAAGTAACACAATCTTGGACAACAGATAAATTTCATTGTTCACAAATAACTGGCATTTTAATAATCGATGATATCTTCGTATCAACGTCTATAGATCAGAGAATAACAGTTTTTAAATTGAAAGAGGATAATAAAGAAATAGAATTTATTAAACAAATCATGACTGATATCTCAGATGTACAAGGAATAGATCTAATCAAATACTCAAAGTAAGATATTCAAGTTTAGGTTAAAATCACATTTATAGCAAAGCCTTATAATTTCTTTATATACTTTCAGAAACAATATAACAGTTTGCGTGTTCGGAAAAGGTGTAGAAGTAATAACAATAGAATTAAAAGACGAATAACAAAATACATCCAAAACATCGGTAAGTAAAGTTCTATTTCTCTTGTTTATGGCTCTCCCTCAGCGGATTTGGACAGTGTCAAGTGTTTATGGTTTTGTTATAATTATGGAAAGACTGGCAACATTACTTTGCTTATAGAGATGTCTCGTGGGAGTACAAGCAGTATTGATATTTTAAACCCTTGAATTATCCAAAGGTATACTTAAAGAAGAACAGACACAAAACGTTTATTTTGTTAGTAGGTTATAAGTTTGAAGTTCACATCAAACATTTTTAAAGTAATTAGTCTTTGTGTTCTTCCAGACTAGATGTAGCATCTATGTCAAATTTCATCTACATCCGTTCTTTAAGCTACAAACTTTTACTCTAGCATTTATATTAGTAAGATAGATTAGTCGATTCAATTAATTGTATAGTTATTCTTATCTATCTTTATTAGTTAATTTGTTGACGTTTACATAACCTGAAATGTAACAATGCTTAACAATTGTGTTGTATTTATCACTCGGATCATGTTAAGATACATTACTATTGTGATTTTCTGTTGTTAATCTGCAAACGTATTACCATTCGTAATCCCCTCTGACTTTATCTTGATGGCATATCTGCAGATCGCATACGATAAGATATCTGTAACTAGTCATGCGTCAAGTTTCTATAGATTTATCAGAGTTGCATTTTGTTTAATGGATTTTTCCTTCCATTAGTTTGTAATGTAGGAGTAATTTATGGGGGTCGAGTTTAAAAAACAGTGTCAATGTCTTGTAACCCTTTGGGAATTTTTGTCACTTTAGTATTACGTAAAATGTCATTGGATGGATTTTTAACTTCTGATTACTAGTATAATTTCATGAGATCTGATTGGGAAATAAATTCGTTCATATTATAATCTAGTTTTTTGTTTATTCCAGCATTTTCGTAATTTGAATGTACATTTTTGGGATTATTTGTGAGCAATTAAGAACTAAACATCTGAATCTATATTAATACAGTCTTAATAAGCAAAGATTCAAATATATGAAGAGATAAATATTTGTGTAAGCAGAAAGTCGTACATAGGAAAGAAAAAAATGACACATATTTAGTGGATTTTTTAAAACAGTCATGTTATGTTTAAATATCCTTATTTCATAAGTAATTTAATTGTTATAAATAACTGTATATTTCAAATATAACGATTAAAAATGATTGTTTATTTATTGTCTTTTATTTTCCCTCTTTTAATGGTAACTTCAACAATTGTTTAATGTAGATTTCTCGTGCATTAAAACTCCCTTAAAACTACAACACGTGCGTTACGTTTTATTGTCTTAGATTAGTTTTATCGCTACTACTTAGGGTCTGAAGAAGCGTGCTTATCACCTCCACAAAAGCCGGCAACGCATCTGCAGTTCCTCTGACATTGCAGATGTCCATGGGCGTCTATGAACGTCTCAATGTTCCCGCTGCTCGTATGCCCCCTTCTGTTCTTAAAAAAAGAATCCATGGAGGTCCATATGCTAAAAAAACTCCAAATCAGAATATAACACGATCAGAGTACTCCACATTTTATCTGAGCAGTAAAGTTAATCTCTTTATTGACGTTTGATATACAAACGACATTTACTAAGATTAGATATAAGAGTTGCAGATATATCTGCACAAAACATCTCAAAACATCATCAGTAACGATTGGTGTTCGTTTACATCTGGTTGCGGTTTGAACTTCGATTACAGTAAGTATGAACATTACACATTCAACTATACTATTTAAACGAGACGAATTAAAACAAAGACTAAACATATGAAACTAGTTGTTGCTCGCATCCTCGCCCGCGTGAAATTAAAAAATAATAAAAAACACAGCCTACACTACACAGTTACTTACAGATAAATTACCTATCTAATGGTAAATGAATTTTTGAAATCTGCCCAGTAGTTTTTGAGTTATTTTAATACATACAAAAATAATGCAATAATAAGATAACTAGCTTTCGCCCGGGACTAAGTCCACGTGGAGTTAAAAAAAAAAAAACAAAAGTATTTATGTGTACTTCCTTACGTCCACTCTATGCCAAATTCCATCGAGATCTGTACAGCAGTTTACGCTAAAAACTCTATAAACATCCTACCTCCCATCTAAAGTTTCGCATTTATAATATTAGTATGATGGTCAGATAAATTTAGAGTCAGAGAGCTTAGCGTTTAGGAAATTAGACAATATTATTTTATGTCCGAACTGGAGTCAATCGTAAATTTTTAAAAAAAGGAAACAACGATAGTGTTGTGGAAATAAAAAAAATAATGGAAAGAAAAATATTACATTTACAAAAACGTTAAACTGTACACTGTATTTCTGAACAGCCTGTATAATGGTCTTATTTATTTAACACTAGTTTACGTCCGCGTGGAATTACCAAAAAAAGTGAATAGCCTATGTCTTCTGTCAGACTATCACCTACATCTAACCTAAATTTCATCGAAATCCGTTCAATCGTTTAGGCTACAAACTCTAACAAACATCCATCCATTTGATGGCATTTTAATATTAGTATGATGTACGTTGGTTTTTCCACATGTAGTTTCAATGCGGAAATTCAGTTCAAGTTATTTAGGCTACGAGTAGTGATAAAGTATTCAACATTTATATCTAATCTGTATCTAGTTGCTACATAATGTGCTTGTGGCGTGTTCATTATCAATATTATATAATATTATTGTTAATATAATGATTTGATGAAAATACGCGTGTTTAAATTCTAACAGTGACTCAATTATTCCGTAAATCCAGCTGCCGATTTGCAATGTTGTCTCTGTTTTTCCCATAAGATTGAGGGAGACAACAATATCTCTTTCAGTCGTGGAAACGGAAACGAAAGTATTATTTTGAAAATTACAATCTGTATTCTAAACGTTTATGTCTATGTTAGTACATTACTAGTAAGCGTTTCTATTAAGAAATGCAATTAATATCAATCAACTACGTCTACGAATCATAAAACATGTTTAATGGAGTTTTTATTGAATTCCATCGAATCTTTGAAGACAAAAAATCCCCTTATGACACGTGTTTATGGAAATACCTAGCGATATGATTGATGAATGCTTCACTGTGGGTTCTTTTTATCAGTAATATGAGAAACGATATTTAAAACAATCTTAAATAAAATAAATGAGCTTACTTTAGGTTGAGAAGAAAACTTAAAAAAGGTAACTTTTTGGTTGATTACTACATATTTTATAGATTTTTTATTTTATCTAATAATTGCAATATTGGTATCAGCTCTACGTATCAAACATTATTAAGGTAATTGTACAATACGGGCATATTAATCAAAATAACCAAAGAAACAAACAGCGTTACTAAATAACTCCTAGAACACATGTTTTATCACGCATATTTCCTCGTATCATTACGTCACCAAGGTAATTAAAGAGACAAATACGTTCAGTTCTAAATGTCCTCGCCGTGAAGGCGGGCTTGTTTCGCGCGCTTTTCTAATCTGGAACCAACTCACCTGTCAGTTTTAAAAAATAATATCGTAGCTACGTCGATAACGATTGATAAAGTTTAGATAATTAAATTAAAACTGTTACATTTTGTGTGAAATTAATTTAATTTTCCTTAATGTAGGGAAATTCTAAAAATACAATGGAAGTTATTCTGATCATCAACTGAATTTTAATTATTATTTGAATTTCAGATGGCGCCACAAGTGACAGCGGTTACGGATCCAGTGACGTTGGGCGAGGGCCCGCACTGGGACCATAGAGAACAGGCGCTTTACTTCGTCAGTATCTTTGATCGCTCTATCCATAAATACGTTCCCGCCACTAAGGAACATACGCGATCTGTCCTAGGTAATCTGGCACTTTCACACTTTAATGATTATCCGTATGTGTGCAAGAGACGAATGTTAGGGAACCTGAATAAATGAAGTTTTGGGATAAGTAGCTTTTATGTAGAAAAAATAAATAAATAGAAACGAGAACGTCATCAGACTCTTATTCTGAAACATAACAAATGAAATAAAGTTCATAATTAACAATTTTATTTAATTAATCAAATTTTTTAATTAATTAACTGATTAAATGATAAACATTCTTAATAATTATTTTTAATACATGTTTTATTTTAATTACAATTATTTTATAATCTTAATCATACTAATTATTTAATTTATTAGTTAATAATATTATATGAAAACAATAACTATCGAAGATAAAAATTCAAGGTTTCTTGAACTAACCTTGAATTTTCGCGCAAGACCGTCTGAAGGCCAAATATATTAAAATTTTAAATAGTATGTATTCAAATGGCTTCTTGAATCGAATGCTATTTTAGGAGTAACAACTTTAATTTGCGAGCAATTTGGATTATATTTCTTATATGAAATCTATTGAAGTAGTATGTTATTCTTTAAACTCAATAAATGAGATAAAATCATCATCTCCCCTACGTTAATCTGCTCCGCATCGGGTTTCCGTCCTCCAAATAACTATCATACGTCATCTCAGTCATCATTATGTTCTTGATTATGTCACCTTTCACACAACCCATCTATCTCTTTCTATGTCTACCTCTACCGGTGTACCACACTCATAACTGACGTTCTCCTTGTTACATGCGATGCATCGCTCCTCATAACATACCCATACCATGGTAACATTTTAGTCCTTAATTTCTCTACCACTGGGATACTCTCAAACTAAATGTTTAATTAAAATAAATTCATTTAATTGCTTTCTTCACTTTTCAGACGATTTAGTAGGCTTCATTGTACCAATAGAAGGCAAACCCAATCATTTCGTGGTTGGTCTCAAGCGCCGCATCGCCGAAGTAGTCTGGGACGGTCAGGACGGTACCGCTAAAGTAACCCGCACTATCGCTGAAATCGACAAACACAACCCTGAGAATAGACTCAATGATGGCAAAGCTGACCCTAGAGGAAGGTTATTCGCTGGTAAATAAAAATCACCTAAATGACATAGATACTTCCTCCCGTACAAAGAAATTGAACGTCCTAATACTGGCAGTAGAACTAGTTAAATATAATAAACTAGCTTTCGCCTGCGACTCCGTCCGCGTGGAATTAAAAAAACATAGTCTATGTTACTCACTGATAACGTAGCTTTTTAATGGTGAAAGAATTCTTAAAATCTGTCCAGTAGTTTTTCATTTATTTTAATACATACAAAAATACAAATCTTTACAGAAGTATAGTAATGCTTTTGGAGAGTTTCGGTAAAATTAGATAACATCCTTTTAACAAAATTGGTAAATTATAAAACGTTTTTTGTATACTTACGTGTGCGACTGTACACTGTATAGCACTTGTTTCGCCGAAGCACCTGATTTTTTACATTGCCATCCCTATCATACTCTGTAAAAAAAGAGAGATAGAAATACGTCTGTCTTGTTATTGTACATTCGCATACACAAGTGTACGAAAATACGTTCATGCACAAGTGTAACGATTTCAGGTACGATGGGTTACGAATACGAACCCGGAAAGTTCTATCACAAGAAAGGTGCGTTATACCGTTTCGATCCCGACGGCAAAGCGCACACGCTGGCTGAAGACATCGACATCTCCAATGGCCTCTGCTGGGACGTCGATGAGAAGGCCTTTTATTACGCCGACTCCTTTGAATATGCGATCAGACGATACGACTATGACATCGAAACTGGCGATATTTGTAAGTAACTAATCAATACTTTTTATATTGATGTTAAATATATTAGTTTAGTTAAAATAAACGAGCGTCGGTGGCTCAGTGGTTTAAGCACTTGACTTGTAATCTACAGGTCTTGGGTTTGAATCCCGCCGTACCAATGTGATTTCCGAATTTTCATATGTACATAATTTACCCGACGTTCTTACGGTGAAGGAAAGCATGGTGATACCTGCACATATCGGCGAAGAAATTCAAAGATATGTGTGAAGTCAACCAACCCGCAGTGGGCCAGCGTGGTTGACTATGGCCTAGTCACCTTAGGGTAGGCTCCGAGCCCCTCGATGGGGACATATAATGAGCTGGTGATGATGATATTAGTTTCGTTTATCCTTAAATGTGACATTTCCAGTCCCATTTAGTAATGTTTTTATTAGGAGCGCGCGCTCAGCTTAGACTAAACTATCGCACAACTGTTTACCTTCGCTTTAATTATGAGCTTATATGGAGATTACAGTACTCGATTTTTAGTTGTGCAACTAAATAGTTGTATTGGCTGCGAAACAATCGACAATCGCACAACATTGTGAGATAGTTTAGTAGTAACAGATAAAAAATTTGTTTTCCAGCAAACCCACGATTCGTATTCAACTACAAAGACCACGGGTTGGAGGGTATCGTCGATGGGATGACCATAGACACGGAAGGTAACCTTTGGGTTGCCAACTTCGACGGTCATCAGGTAAATAATTTTGATACGAGAGTTCAATAATGTTATGGTCCGTTAATCTCAATCAATGTAATAACTTAATAACTTTATTAAGTAAATTTTATTAATCACTAGTTTTCCCCCGCGACTCCGTCCGTGTGTAATTAAAAAAAAGAAAATCAATAGCCTATTTATTCTTCCAGACTATCTTTTACATCTATACCAAATAATCGAAACCCTTTTAGTCGTTTTGGCTACAAACTCTAACAAACATCCAACCATCTAAACTTCCACGTTTATATTTTTAGTATGATTTTATTGCAGGTAATAAAAATCGACCCGAAGAAAGGAAAACTGTTACAAAAGATACGAATTCCCGCACTCCAAGTGACCTCTGCGACATTCGGAGGTCCGAACATGGATATCTTGTACGTGACGTCAGCCTGCATGAACCGCGGCGTCGAGCAGAAGCCTCCTTGCGGCTCCACATTCCAACTGACAGGTCTCGGAGTCAAAGGCCACGTCAACGCTAATGCCAGATTTGATTAAATAAACTGTGATTGTATTTTGTGTTATGTTAATTAATAAATTACTAATAAACATTAAATGAAGTTTAGTTTTTTAATTGAGAAGTTAGCTATTACAACTTTTAAATAATATTTTTTTTACAATGATCATAGCTTTTGAATACAATTTATTTTTAGAATTTTAACGTAATAAAATAGTATTTTTGCCGTAAAGCATACTAAAATAGCGAACTTTTACAAAAGTGAGACAAAAACGAATCTTTTTACTTCACTACACGTACAAGTCGACGCGTAAACATTTTTTGGGTTCATGTCTTTTTGATAATGCAGCGATAAAGTAAACCTATCGCGTAATCATGTTTAATCACGCGGGAAAAAGTCAAATATTTCGTACCTCTTCCGAGCCTTGTAACTCCTTTGATCACGATGATTTGCAATAAGTCTGCAGTCTGGTCAGAATTATCGACATTTTTACCTAATGAATAAAAATGAAACGTATTACCTATCACGATGTACAGGGTGTGTGTTTATACATGACATAGGTACAAAAGGCGCGGAGAGATACTTAATATTAATATTTTAATAATAAACTGTCACCAACTAACTGTAAAAATTTTCTTGGATTAAAACTTTTCTCAGCGGACGAGTTTAGGACAAATATAGACGATTTTTAATGAATTTTGTCTAATGTAACATCCTGTAAATCGATAACATTGATTACGTATGATTTATCATACCGTCATATAAATCTAGTGAATCAGAATTATTGTTTTTTAACAGTTTCACACCGAAATCCTTTGACTACGGTTCAAGTTCCTAAAGCGATAAAGTGATTAGATTTCCTGCTTTTACCGGGATATTGTTTATTGAGTTTTTACCAATTTAAGAACTAACACAATGGCACCAGTAACAGAAGCTTTGTTGACTATCTCCTTCGGCGAGGGTCCGCACTGGGACGTAGAGGAACAAGCTCTTTACTACTGCAACTTTACAGACAACACAATCAATAAATACAATCCATTGACAAGGGAAAACACCTGTGCAGAGTTTGGTAAGGTTACCTGCGTAATTATTCATTAAAAGCAGGCGCACAATTTTGTCTAAACTATCTCCCAGTGCTGTGCGATTGTCGATTGTTTCGCAGCCATTCAACTGTTTAGTTGCACAACTATTACGAGTATGTGCCATATCATAGGAATCAAAGTGGGACTAAACAGTTGTGCGATAGTTTATTTTCAGGTGTGCTTGTTCTAAGACTATATCGTATTTTTTTATTCCAATCAAGTGAGGTAATCAATTTTAAATTTCCAGATGAGCACGTGTCATTTATCATACCGATTGAGGGCAAAAAGCATCACTTTCTCGGCGGGATGAGACGGGACATTGTCGAAATAGAATGGAACGGTGAGAATGACACCGCAAGAGTTGTCAGAATTGTGGCCCAAGTTGACGACGACAAACCTATCAATGTACTTAACGACGGAAAAGCGGATCCTAGAGGGCGATTGTACACTGGTAAATTCGTTTAATCAGATAATTAGTTATTTAACTAGTTTTACCATTTAGATTTAACTGAGATAAATTAAAAAGAGGCTAAAAACGAATGAAGTTGAAAAAAAGAGCTTAGAGATAGTCACATGTAGGCAAATTTGAAAGAGAAGAAAGATAGAATGAACGTTAATAAAAAGTAACGGACATATTTCTGCTTTCATTAACCCTCTTGTCAAGCTATTTACACATTAACGAATTCTAATTGCTATTTCTCACTCAATTTCAACAACTTTAATAAACTGTCCTCAACATTCTTATATTACTTAATGAATTTCTTTAATTGTTTTCAGGTACGTTAGGGTATAAACCTAGTGAGACAATCGTAATTGAGAACTTTATCCATGAAAACGGTTCACTGTATCGCTTGGATGTGGATAATCAGATTCACAAGTTGGACGCGGTCACTCTCGCCAATGGACTGGCTTGGGATATTGAAAGAAAGTATTTCTACTATGTAGACTCTATGGACGCTATTAGACGATATGATTATGATATAGAGACTGGAAATATTTGTAAGTTATTATTAATTATTATGTTAATTAATTATGTCTGACACTTCGGAATAATTTTATGTGGTACATTAATTTAGTTTGTTGAACATTTTATTGGTATTCCTTGTCTAATATCGACTTTTATGTTATTATTATAACTAATAGCCTTTTGTAAGGACAGCAAAATTAAAGTTGTGTTGATATCGTCATTAAAACATTTATTATTAAAATAAACATTGGCTTAGTTAATTTATTGTATTGAATCAATTGTTTTATTATTCCATAGCAAACTGTAAAAAAATATTTGTTGCTGCGGAACACGGACTTAAAGGACTTTGCGACGGAATGACCATAGACACGGATGGTAATCTATGGGTGGCTGTTTTTGAAGCCAGCAAGGTAAACTTATTTTTTAATCGATTGTCGAATTTGTTATTATTGTTACCACTGATTAAAAATTCCAATTAAATTCTGTTTTAATTCAGGTTGTTAAAATCGAAGGGGAAACCGGAAAATTGCTCCAAAAAGTAACGATACCTACGAGTGAAGTTACATCGGTTGCGTTTGGTGGATCGAACTTAGACATCTTGTATGTGACTTCTGGCAACACTCGGTGCAAAAAGCATCAAGCGGTGTGGGGCGCGGCTTTATATGAGGTCACAGGCCTCGGGGTTAAAAGATATGCACCTAATAAAGTTAAAATAAACTGAAAGTACTACTCAATTTGTGTAATTTATTTCCTTACGTATTACAAGATTAAATAGATTTAAAAAGTAGTAAACACATGCAGTAGAAACAGCTTAGATAACCAAAACCGTATCTCGGTATATGTGCTTCCGTATCCGTAGGTTGCCGCCATATTTTCAACTATAAAGACTGTAGGTTATTTTGACCTATTATTGTTATGAATACTTCAATAACTCAGTTGAATTAATTAAAGCGGTAATCTTATCACACTACTTACATGTAATAACATGTTCGTGACGTAGCAATCTCCATATTTGAATAGTTATTAGGTAGTACTATTTGTTTCTCTGTAAGCGTTCGATTATAAATACACTTGTAAGATAACGGCCGTATTTTGAGGTTATACATACGTATTTTTTATTATGATTAGTCAATCATCAAATATCAGCAAATGTGGACGCATTTACATGATAAGTCACATTTTCTACAATCTGCCCTAGTTTTGTTAAGGAAAAACAAGAGCTATTGATTTTTTTTTTGTATACATTTTAAACCTGGTAAGTACTTCATAATGACCTCATTTATTTATCATCATATTCCTCCTTATCCTACTCCCGTAAGGTCGGCGCGATAGGTTTTTGTCCACCACATATATCATACGTCACTTCAGTAATCAGTCATATTAGTTTATTTTTTTTATAATATAAGGTGGCAAACGAGCAAGCGGCCACCTGAATCCACCGAAATGGAAAGCGACCGCTGCCCATTGACATCCGCAATAGCAGATGCGTTCCCTACCCTTAATTGACGAAGGAGGAGACGCACATAAAGAGGATTACCCCTTCCTTTGCGTCCCCTCCGCCCTCAAGTCCACTTTTCCTTCCCATCGTTTCCTCTTAAGAAAAGGGTGGAAAGGGAAAGGGACTAAAATTAGGCCTCCGGCACTACACTCATCAGACAAAACGAGGAATTGCTTCCACTTCACGCCTGTTTTCTGTGTGGTCGTGGTATTGCACCGGGCGAGCCGACCTATGCGTGCGAAGATTTTGAAGCGGGCTCTACCACTATTTAATTTACGTATTCTGAATTTCGATATTTCCAGGCTTCTAACCTAACAAAACTATAGTTACAATGGTGGTCATAACAGAAGCAGTGACCATCTCCTTCGGCGAAGGCCCGCACTGGGATGTGGATGAACAGGTCCTGTACTATGTCAACTTCCTCGACAACACAATCAATAAATACAACCCTGCGACCAGGCAGAACAACAAGTCTAAACTAGGTAAATAATTTGTTAATTAATAATTAAATTAATTTAATCGAAACGTTTAACTAAGAAATAATTAACTACATTTATCGGATTAATTATTATTTTATTAAGTACATAATTAATTAATAGATTAAACATTACGATTTACAATTTGATTAAATTAATTTGGGTACAATTTTATTCATTGAATTAATTTATTAACATTCAAATTATGAAGGTATTTATAGCCCAGTTTCCAGAAACTTATACTTCCTTCGTGATTCCAATCGAGGGAAGAAAACATCGTTTCCTCTGCGGAATAAAACGTGACATAGTTGAAATAGAGTGGAAAGGAGATAACAAAAATGCGGTGGTCGTGCGGACTATTGCCAGTGTTGAAAAGGGCCGACCCGAAAACTTCTTGAATGACGGCAAAGCAGATCGTAAAGGACGATTGATCACAGGTAGGTTAACAAGTTTGAATTCTTAAAATAATGACCACAACATAATATTATACAAAATATACCTTTGTATTTTAGGAACGTTAGGTGGTAACCCTGACTGCGAAAATCTGGATGACATGATACTCCCCGAAAAAGGTTCTTTGTACAGAATAGATAGCGATGGCCAAGTAAATAAATTGGATGATAAAATCACCATCTCCAACGGCTTGGCATGGGATGCAGAAGGAAAAACTTTGTATCTTGTAGACTCTATGGATTGTATTAGAAGATACGACTATGACATTGAAACGGGAAATATATGTAAGTAATTTAGATTAAATTAGACAAATTGAAGAATTATCTACTATTTCTCTTGAAAATTAAACGTGTTTCAGATTATGTTTTTAATAATTTTTTTTCCTATCGACAGCAAACTGCCGAAAATTATTCGTCCCCAAAGATTACGGGATCAAAGGAATATGTGATGGCCTGACCATAGACACAGATGACAATCTCTGGGTTGCCGTATATCAAGGGGGGCAGGTAAAAACATTACATACTTTAATATTGAATTTACTTTATAATTTTAGTCGAAACCTAACTTTAACTTTACATAGCAGTTTTTTAATTTTTAAATAGTTTTTAATTGGTAAACGATTTTTACAGATTTTAAAAATTAACGGCAAAACTGGCGAAATCCTACAAGAAGTGACAATGCCAACGATGGACGTATCCTCACTTACTTTCGGCGGAGCTAATCTGGACATCCTGTATGTTACATCTTGCAATGTCCAATGGGAGAGGAAGGAACCTGAGTGGGGAGCGGCTATCTACCAAGTGGAAGGACTGGGTGTCCGGGGATATCCTGCATTTAAAATTAAATTATATAGTTGAAATCAAATTTTCTTTTTATTAATCTATACTTCTGCACTTAATGTCAGCAACCACAACATCTTTTTGAATACCGAGTTCTTTTATAAAAACCCCTACACTTACGACTCGCTTTATGCTATATATTTTCACGCTATTAAACTTAGGAGGTAAAGAAATTAAAAGAAACCCTAATGTGGGTAATGGACCAGAAACTACAAGCTGCCAACATTAAGGAAGCAAGGTTATTATGGTAATGGTAATTTATACATATGTAATTGAGAATTTGACAAATGTAAACGATAAAATAAAGTTTTTACAATGTCATGCGGACGAAGTCGCACGGCAACAGCTAGTTTTGAATAAATCGTCTTGCGGAAAAGGAACGAAAACGATTTCATACGATAACCGAAAACAGTAATGATCTGCCTTTTATAAGAGATTTATAATCGGCCCAGTAGTTTTTGAGTTATTTCAATACATACAAAAATACAAATCTTTCCTCTTTATAATATCTGCCTTTTATAAGAGACTAGTAGACTACACAGTTATGCGATAGTTGAATCAAAGGTGTGTACGCGCTTTAATAATTCATCACTTATCAAGACATGTACAAATTCGTTACAAGTAAAAGGTCAATCATTGAATCATCATATCACGTTTGATTTAAATATAGCAAATAGATACATTAAATATCTATATCTGTTATCTATACTAATATTATAAAGAGAAAATATTTGTATTTTCATATGTATTTAATTCACGCAAAAACTACTGGACCGATTTTAACAATTCTTTCATCATTAGAAACTACCTTTCTAATGGTGAAAGAATTTTTGAGTTATATCTTTTTATTTTTAATTTCACATCGACGAAGTCACCAGCAACAGCTAGTGTTAGATAAAAATAAAGTCAAAAGTCAATGTGTTCGTGTATTGAACCGAAGTTTGATAGCGTACTTTATTTATAAGAAGACGTCTTTGAGGTAAATAGGAACTTACGACACGATTATGTAAGTGTTTGGTTTATTTTAAGTAATTAGCGATATCTTTTCATTTTTATAGCATTTAATCTTGTCAATGTTTAGTATAACTGCTTATATGTTTTGATTTTTCAAATCAATTTTTATTGACGGATATACAGAACATTGAAATCAGTTGATTTTGTTATGTTATTAATAACTATTATCTACTTATGTTGAACAATGACATTATCCTAGCAATAAATAAAGGCAAAAACAAAATGGCACCCGTAACAGAAGCAGTGCTGACAATTTCCTTCGGTGAGGGCCCGCACTGGGACGACGAGGAGAAAGTTCTGTATTACATGAACTTTATGGAAAGTTCAATAAATAAATATAACCCAGAAACCGGACATAAAACTAGAACGGAACTCGGTAATTAATATGATAATTGTTTAGTAAATTTTCGGTAATTGGTATTTAATACTTTTTAATTACTACTTTGTTACGCATCTTCATGAACATTGTAAATCGCTAGATGGCGCTGTCTTTAAAAAAATGTTTTTCCGTAATAACTTCATACTTCTCTTATTCCGTTACTGCAAAAGGCATCCTAAGCTACCTATTTAATTTTGCCTTTCAATAGATCAGTTCCCAGACACATATACATCTTTTCTCATCCCAATCGAGGGTAAAAAGCACCGTTTTCTCGGCGCTTTAAAACGTGACATCGTCGAAATAGAATGGAGAGGAGGCAATGAGAAAGCGGTCGTTGTGCGGACTATTGCCAAACTTGACCAGGATAAACCTGATAATATTACAAACGACGGCAAAGCGGACCCTAGGGGACGACTGTTTACTGGTGAGATTATAAATTTTAATTATTCAATAATCAATTACAATAACTAATCAAAAAGAATAAAAACAACAGCAATTTATGGTCCCTTTTAATACCTACCATTATTTTCCTTTTAGGAACATTTGGTTTTAACCCCTCGGGTAAAAATCTAAATGAGATGATACTCCCAGGACGAGGATCTTTATATCGAATGGATACCGACGGCAAGGTTCACAAATTGGAAGAAAATATCACGATCTCTAACGGACTGGCGTGGGACAGAGACGGAAAGACTTTATACTACGTCGACTCTATGGACAGTATTAGAAGATACGATTACGATATAGAGACAGGAAATATATGTTAGTTTTTACTCAAATCGTTAAATTAAGTGAATCTTAAATACTGACCTATTTAATTAATATTTCATATTAATATTTAATGGAATTAAGTCCGCTACAGACCCAAAAATCTGAAAAATTGTTACAGAGAGCTTTATTTTAAATGCTTATAATTTTTTTTTCTATTCACAGCAAACTGCCAAAAGTTATTCGTCCCGAAAGATCACGGAATCAAAGGAATATGTGATGGCCTGACCATAGACACGGAAGATAACCTCTGGGTTGCCGTATACGAAGGAAGCTTGGTAAAGATTCAACACAACTTTATTACAATATTTGAAATTATTATTACACTAATTAGAAATCTGTACTTACAGGGGTTCGTTACTAAATAAATCTATTTAAAATCCATTACATAAAGATTGATTGACATAATTTTGAGGTTAACATACACTGAAAATTTAATTACTCTGAGAAATCATTATTATTATGCAAAATTATCGAATAACAACCAAACGATTCTATAAATATTTTCAGGTATTAAAAATTGACGGAAAAACCGGTGCAATTTTACAAAAAGTCACCATTCCTAATAGCGAGGTGACGTCCCTTGCGTTTGGCGGAGACAACCTGGACATCCTCTACGTTACCACTGGGAACGGCCGCTGGAAGAAGACTGAGACAGAGTGGGGAGCAGCGCTTTACGAGATAAAAGGACTGGGAGTCAGGGGATTTCCTGCATTTAAAGCTAAAATCAACTAAATGAAACCTTTTTTTTGTAATTTGTTGTTTTTTAATAACTAATTTTTATCTATGTCCCACATTTACGGTATGCGACACTTATAAAAAATGAAACAAAACATCCAGTAAACATTTTATTTATTTAAAAAATGGTATAAACAAATATTTAGTGTAAATAAGTGATTAATATGAACAAATTTACTTACATTTATTGATATAAGGATAAAAACTATTATAAAAACTTTATACTTAATAAATATTAGCACCTTACATGTCTTTTATATTTTTTTCTAATAAGTCTTTTAAAATTTCTTTGGTCGTTAAACCTAAACATAGTTCAAAACATTGAGATAAATTTTATCACTTCAAAGTGAAAATAAATTTTAGTTAAAAGATAATTTACCAAAACTTTATAAGTTATCTTTGATATTGCTTTTCTCAAAAGTAGTAATTCCTAAATTAATTTAGTGAAAAAAATGTTACAACTTTAACCCATCCCTTGAAAATGTCTTTAGTGCTTTAAAAAATAAAAATTAAATGCATTTAAGGCAGTTTAAAATTGACATTGGGATGACCTTTAACACCCAAGCCGAACACCATAAAGGTTGAACCGCAAGGAGGTTTCTGCTCCTCTGTTATAAACATACTGGCAGTTGTAACAAACAGAACATCCAAATTAGGTCCTCCAAAGGTCACAGAGGTAACCTGTTTAGCTGGTATTGGTACCCTTTGCAGTACAGTACCAGCTTTTGGGTCAATTTTAAGAACACAAGACCCATTGAAGATGGCAACCCATATATTACCATCAGTATCTATAGTCATGCCATCAGCAAGACCATCAATATTATTCTTTTTTAAATCAAAGACATATTTCAGATTGGCTGAAAAAAAGAGTTTGTTAACTGGTTGAAAAATTAACATGGTACAATCTTACTAATGTCATAAATGAGAAAGTTTAGATGGATGGATGGATATTTACTATGTATCTCCAGAACAACTCAATGGATCTTGATGAAATTTGACACAGATGTAGAACATAGTGTGGAACACATCAGCTACTTAATTTGTTTCTTTTTGTGTATGTGCAAAGTGAACAAAAAGAGAGGAACTTACAAATGTCTCCGGTATCCACATCGTAATCATATCTTCGGATCTTGGACTCCAGTGAATCATTATAATACATTGCTTTTTCTCTCAAATCCCAAGCGAGACCATTGGAAATACTGATCCCGCTACACATCTTAACAATTCCTCGTCTATCCACTCTGAATAGTGAACCTTTCTCCATGTCGAAATTGCCCGGAGGATCCTCACAGCCCATAGTACCTAAAAGAAATGTAATATAAATGAAATTATGTATAGAATATAGACATTGTAGTGTGAAAAGTAATGTGTAAATTCTAGATTTTCTATTGTTAATTGCACAAAAATCCAAAACAATAAAAAATACTGCCTATAGTTCATAACCTATAAATCTATCCAACTACATACTAATTCAAAATAAAATTCTTAATTGTTAATTAACATAGCAAAGTCAATTTCTGCAACTTTGTATATTTGACATTTACCAGCAAACAATCTTCCTTTAGGATCAGCTTTCCCATCATTTATCCTGGTTGTTGGTACATCTTGGTCCACTTCTCCCAATTCCTTAACAACTTTGACTGTACTCCCATCTTTGCCATCCCATTGGATCACCAAGAACTTCCTCTCCACACCCACCACAAACTGGTCATCTGTACCATCTACAGGCAATATGAAACCAACACGCCCATCTGGAAACATTTTTACATTAATAAACCCATCAAGGGAAATCACAGTAGTTATAGATGGATGGATGTTTGTTAGGAATTATCTCCAGAATGGCTAAATGGATCTCAATGAAGTTGGGCACTGATGTAAAAATACTCTGGAAGAACACATAGGCTATTCATCTAGATTTAAACATTTCAGCAACCATAATAACATACCTAATGTAGTTTTGGTGTGCTCTCCTGTAGTAGGTACATATTTATTAATAGTCTTCATATTGATATCCACAAAGTAAAGAGCCTGTTGCTTGTCATCCCAGTGAGGACCCTCTCCCAAAACTACTGGGTCAACGATTTTCTGCACGGATACCGACATCTAGAGGTCACAGCAAAAATAATTAAACCAAATATTACTTATTTAAAAGTAATGTATTAAACAACCTTCAATAAAATATCACCATGTATTTGTATTTAAATGAGACTAAAAATAACTTACTCTCACGATCGTTGCACACGAAGAGCCCGAACTTAATAAAAATCTTTATTTTATTGCTACTTTATATTTCATGTATCCTTATCGCACTTGCAACAACAGTTCTTTTGAGAGGCAATTAAGACGCTTTGATAACTTTCTGTACTCAATATTACAATAATTACATACACAACAAGTGCATTTTATCTCTTATCTTATCATGACAATTGACAACAGGACAACATGAGAACAGACAAGGATGGACGTGTGTAAATCAGTTTAGAACCAGTCCAACTGATCAGTTCACATAGTCTTCAGCCATTAAACTGCAACTCAACAAAGAATTCACCAGCTCGCAGCTCAACGCAGAGTAATATAATAATGGGAGTCAACAAGACGTGAACAGTCCCGAGATTCGCAGCTCATGGATATAATTCCTTTATACAGGTACAAATTGAGCTGATCTGTAAATCTGCGATCTCTTTCATTCGTGTGAACTGTGAGCTGATCATCAATTTTAGATGAGTCATGACTAGACAGTAGATACGATAAATCAAGGTCATAAATGTGAAAATAAGAAGAGCAATAGTAGTGTTGCCAAATAGTTGACCTGTGATCAACCGGCGGATTATTATTTAAACTATCCTTGCCTATATAACTATGTAATATAATTTGAATTAGAAAGTCATGTTTAATTATTACATTATGGACTGCCTAATTGTGTGCATGTTTACATTAATTTGCAAGTAAAATATAATCGTGTCGTAAAAACAATAATGAGTAATTAACTCACACTTCATTCAAATAAAATACATAATAATTGTATCAAGTCAAGTTTAATCTTAACAATTTAAAACAAATATTTAAATTTACATTTGAGGTTTCTTTTTATTGGAAATCTTACTTAAATGCCGACAAATTTTTTTCTTCAATTCCTTTTGCCTCTTCAATTTCCGCCACTCTTCTTCTTCTATTTGTTTCTTATGCTTTTGTAACCTGTCTGCTGTTGCTTCTTTTTCCTTTTGCTTCTTTTGTTCAAAGTTTGTTTTCAACATCTTCATAACATTTGATACCTTCTGCTCATGTGGGCTTTTAATAACTGCTATTCTGTCTTTAAATATATTTTTAGCTTTAACACCAGATAAAGTCGTTTTACGTTCTTTAGGTTTAAATCTATAGGGCAGTCCTTTTTGCAATACTTTAGGGATAACCAAAGGTTTGAATACCTTTGGATCCCTTTTTATACTAGTGTACATAGAATCAGTATTAGCGTCATTTTGAATGTTACGTTCTCTTTTTAATTGACCTTTAGTTTTCATACCTTGCCAAGCATTTTTATTTCCAGCGGGTAATAATAAATTGACCACAGGAGCGTAAAACTTCGTTACATCCACTTTGAACCATGTGCGGCAAAATATGATATCACTCATAAGAATCTTATCTTCAAATGTCGCGCGGAATGCACCTTCAGGTTTATTTAAAGCTTTTTTAATTTGACCTCTGATTCCAGATACAGTTTTAACTCTGGCACCCTCAAATTTCGCCACCTCCAATGTGGTAGTAAACATATCTTTTATGAATGCAGTCTTTTTGTATATTTTCAATGGAGTTCCAACTAATTTGAGTTTCTTCACAATTTGTGTAGATTTATTAATTTCGTTAACACTGCCTGTAGCTGCTATTCTAAATCCTAACTGTTTTATCTCATTAGGGTTATTATTGACTGTTTGAAGAGCTAAGAAGCCTGTATTTTGTGGGGTTATTGGCCCATAGAAGTGCATATTACATGTAACATGCTCTGGAGTATATTTCAAATACCTACATTTCAAGTCATCCTCTATCTTGGAATAAATAGGAAGACTTTGGAACCGACGCCAACCCAACGATATTATAAGAGGATCGTTTGTTTTAAGTATCTTCTTGTACCATCTGTGTTTTTTGACTTTACAAGATACAAAACCTATGTTCTGCTCTGCCATGTTCAGCGCACCAATGAGTATTGGATAACTGGCATCGAAATTAGTGACAAATTCAGAAGGCATATCTTTGAACAGCATTCGAACATATAACCCTGGTCTAAAGCCCTCCACCTCAACTCTTAAGCCACTGTCAAGATTCTCGAAAACGGATTTATTTAACTCAGACTGTTTAAGAGCTTCTGCTTTAAGACTTTCGTAATAAGAATGGTCACCTTTTATTCTATGATCATCAGGGTTGTCATACTCTGAATCAAATTTTGCTTTAAGCTTTAATTTCTTTTCGAGAATTTCAGACTTCGTTGGCTCCGCTTTACGTTTTGTGCCCGATGCCTCATCAGGTACCTCATCTGAAACATCTTTATTGATGTGCTTTTCTCCTGTTTCCAGATCTTCAAAGTCACCATAAAGTTCCTCATCACCATCACTTGCGTCATCTAGTTTCAAAAGTTCTGAAGCATCTTCATCAGGCAATCTCTTACCAGTTACAAAATTCTTCATAAGGAATTGTTTATTAATTTCATTTGTCCAATCCTTTAGGTCTGGTTTGCTGTTTGAATAAAAATAGGAACATTCATCAACATCCTGCTGCTCTTTCTGCTTTTGTCTTTTCTTCTGTGTGCTTGTTACTTTTTTAAACAAACCACCAATTTCTTCATCTTCACTGTCACTTGCATCATTTTTTTGTACTTTATTTTTATTACCTATTTCATAATCCCCATAAACCAGCTTCATTATATTCTTTGAAGTCTTTTGTCTTTCAAAGTACGCCATTGTCGCTTTCTCTTCTAGTTTTTCTTTCCATTTAGCATTAAAATCTGCATCATCATCAGAGTTTTCTTTGTCTGAATTATTTTCATCACCATTTTCTGGTTCATCACCCTCTGCTTCAGAACCCGAGTTGTTATCCCATGGCAGTTTGTTTCCATCAACTTCTTTATCGTTTTCTTCTATACCACTATCACTACCTGATTCATCATTATCACCTTCATCACTGGATGAATCAGAATCTTCTTTTTTATCATTTTGTAGATATTCATCATCTTTGATCATATCTGGATATATAACAGCTCCTCCACTAAACAGTTTAAAACCTGATTCCTGCATTTGTTCATCAAGTGTTTCCTTTGTTTCAACAACATTTTTAATTAATTCCTTTTTTTCATTTGTTTCCTCATCTTGTTTATGAGAATGTGAACCAAGAAGCTCAATATATACTGCATCTTTATCATACACAATGCCGCCAACACCAGAAAATGGGGCGTAAATCTGTCTCTCTCTTTCCATTAAGTGGCGTTTCTTTTCCCTGTTAGGTAGTGGACAAGGATCTGGTAAGTATGATAGTTCACTTATCTTCATATCTCCTACACCTGTAAATATAATTAAATCAGGTGTAAATAAAAAAATTAGGACTTAAGTTATGAATTTTCAAAATTCCAACTACTTCTAACAATTAACTTATTAAAACTTTCGTGAGACATTATACTATATAAATTATAACACGGCTAAACTCACGTGATAACATTTGGTGTAGGCACCGTCAGTTCATTGACCGTCGCGACGCGATAGCGAGTATATCAGATTAATCACTCACCCTGAAGAAGGACCCCCAACGAAACTGTCGGTGCCTACACCGAATGTTATCACGTGAGTTTAGCCGTGTTATAATTTATATACTTCTAACAAATACAAAAAGTTTACAATATTAATAAATGAGAAGTTGAGGTCAGTTCTGATAGGTATAACTGATGTGTCAAATTGATCAATTAAATGTGTGCATGTGTAAACTTTAACTAAAAAGTTAGATTCATCAATAGAATCTATCAATTCGAACTGAGCAAATTGGAAGCTAACTATTGAAAAATTGTTATCTCTTATAATGTTGAGTTTACAAAGGGGTGTATAAAAAATTACCTACCTGCAATGTGTACCACGGCTTCTTTCATTAATGGTACACCCCTGACATATCCATACAGTACCACATCTCTGTTCACTTTGGGATCCTTCCTTATAATCTCTTGACTAGTAATGTCTTCTAAACGGTCCGCTAAGATATAGGCATGTGTCATACGCCAACTTAAAGGCCTAAATTTCATCACAGATATAAATCTGGACAGATTTTTGATCTCATTTCTCAAGTATTCTCCATGAACTATACCAGAGAGGTAGAATAATTTAGCCCCTGGATACACTTCTGTCCAAAAGCGATGTTTCAATGTCTTCTTTGTGGTTTTCAAAGTTTTTGCATTCTTAATCATGTCAAGATGTGTAAGTACACCCATGATTTTTGGCATACCATGCACTTGGCATATGTTAAGGAATTCGAATATCTCCATTTCGAAGCCGAAACTGGCGTCACACAAAAGTAGAACTAAATCTGCACATTTTGCTATATCTATCATAGAATTAATGTCGTTGTTACATTCAATCAATGTTAAGCGACGTTTCTTTGATGTGACTATAGTAATCGGGCCGTTAGTACTTGTTACGTTAGTTTTTATGAAGCTTTTAATTAAGTTATTTATGAGTGTTGTCTTGCCTACACGAGGGGGACCGACAACTGCTACTACTATCGGCGGTGGCTCCAACGGCGTCTTGTCCACTTGTGGGATATGCTGCTTCTTGGAAATAACATCCTCACGTCTTCTAAACTGCCTTTCAGCTCGTACAGCAGACTGGATAGCAAATGCCTTCGGGTTTCTCTGTCTAGCACTTAGGTTAGATTGATCGACTGCATTTTTTTTCTTCTTCTTATCAGCCTTCCGTCCGGCACGTTTCGCATGATGCGATTTCTTTTTATCAAAGATGGCTTCGTCAGCCATTTTCACATAATAACTGGACTTAAACTATACCAAATATCCAAGCATGATTTTGTAAACAACGTCAATCATGTCCACATGGATGTTGACAATTGACAATAGTTGACAAATTGACAATGACATTTCTAACACCAGTGTGTCCAGTTTACGATAGAACAGAAGTGTCAGAATTTTAGTTTAGTTGGGCTTATTCCTATTAAAAAGCCAATTTTATAATAACGCTTCAATAATTCTGGAAATTCTAATTCAATTTTTGATTCAAATGAATGTTCAACATAATGATGAATATTTAAATTGAGTTAACATTAAACCTGGTATCCCATGCGTCAGCTGTCATTAAAGTACCGCAAATCGATGTCGTTCTCTTGTATTTTTGTGAAAAAAAGCAATCTTTTCGGATGATGAAAGCAAAAAACTTCGTTGTTAATGATAGTTCGCGAGTGTTCGACTTCAAATTGGACTGAAACACATTAATTGTACAATGAGTGCATCGGAATTGGATAGCCGCAACATTGCTCTTTCCATGTAAGTGTCCATTTATTATTGTTGTGTTCGTTGCGTTCGCTATCTATGTGAGGTATTTAAACACCAATAAATGACTGTTATCTTATGCACATTCACACGTTCAAGTTATTTATCATTGTTACTATACCTGACTTCATTTCATACAATTTCGACAACTATTTAATACAAATATCAACCTATTGAAGTTAAAAGTTGTTTACTGCCGTATTAAAATATAATAGTTCAGTCTTCGGTTGAAACTTCGGTTTTTAATACCTTAGAGTTGATTCACCTTAGTATAGATAATTTGGAATTACTAATTAAAAGACTACAGATAAAAAATTGACTTCTAAAGTTCATTAACATAAAAAATATTACAATGTTTTCAATTCAACATAATGAAATCTTGTAAGTACAAAAAAATGTAATATTTATTACACATTTGTGTACAATTATTTGTGTGAGCATCTTTTTTTATAAGAAAATTTTTACTTATAGGAGAAAATCGGTAGAGAATCTGGTTATATCATCACAAGATGCCATTGGACAGAGCATCAGCCAAGCCCTCAATTTCTCTGGGGTCATCGCCCCTCATAATGTACAGGACAACAAGTAAGACATACCAAGTAATTTAATAAAAATTAAGTACAAGATCTAATCACTTATAAGCAAATTGTATACTAAATATGAAGTTGAAACTAGCATTAACTATTAACTCTACCAAAAGACAAAATTTCAAGTAAAAGTTGAGTACTAAATTATAAGACTAAGTGGTCTACTATAATATTATTAAGAGGAAAGATTTGTATTTATGTGTGTATCGAAATAACTTAAAAAACGACAGGGCCAATTTTAAAAATGAGTAACATAGGCTATATTTTTTAATTTCATACAGGCCAAATCACGAGTAATTTTTATTAATTTCGGTAATGTTGCAAAAACAATCAAAATACTTGATATGTGTATAAGATATTGCCAGAAAGTGTATTTATTTTATTTTTATGTACAATCCTTTGAATCTCTTTTGGCACAAGTTTTTGGCACATATGAGAAATTTATTCATCCTACCAATTAACTCTGAATGAGTGTCTCAAATATAAGCGGGAATACACATGCCAGTAACTGGCATATTTGCAAACTTACACATGCCCGGTAGCATGTGTGATGTGACTAATTGGGTAACTGGCATGCAATTAACTAGCGCAATATTACATTTTGTGAATTCTACTGGTGATTTGAGGTGGGCTACAAAGTTCAACACTAAGATGTACTATTTCATGAACTGGCTGTTCCATTTTACATGCATATGTATTCCCGCCCTAACACCCAAAACCTATATAGTGTAGACAATACATTATAAATTGTTATTAAAAAATCTCTTTTAAAAATAAATTCTTTGTTTTCTAGACATGCTTTGATACTTAAATGTCGATACTTTTTAAGTAATCATTAATTGTAGTATTTTTACAAGCTGGTTTATTTTTTATTGTTAACTAAATCATTAACAGCGAAATCGGGATGATGTTAACTAGAGCATTATTTCTAAATGTAAAAAAAAATTAATCAACATTATTAACAGGGCTATTTATAATGATGTAATACATTTTTTCGTAGATAATGGCGGCCTAATCGCATGGTATTGATCGTCTTTGATATTTGGATTATATAACTTGTATTAGTTATACATGGTGTTCAAAGTTATGTATAACGGAACACGCGGATTTCTTGGCCAAAATCCAAAATGACTTAGTTTAAGAGATTTAGTGATGATATGCCTTATCATACTAATATTATAAATGCGGAAGTTTAGATGGATGGATGGATGGATGGATGTTTGTAAGAGTTTGTAGCCAAAACGGCTAAACGGATTTTGATGAAATTTGGTATAGATGTAGCGGAATGTCTGGAAGAACACATAGGCTACTCACTTTTGTTTTTTTTAATTCCACGCGGACGGAGTCGCGGACGAAGGCTAGTAGATTTATATATAGAAAATGATTTTTAGCAGCAAACTGTTAATATGTTATGTAGTATTTTGTTTATTACTAGCTGATCCTGTGCGGCTTCATCCGCATGAAATTATAAAAACTTTATTTCGTTTACATTTGTCAAATTATTAATATGCTGTGATTGCTGACAACACCACGACAACTTATTTAATTGATACTGTCGCTTTTAACTCAGAGCAATACTTCTCGTCAAGACTTAGGATGCGCGCCAAATCTATCCATACTTCTAGTGACATTTGACAGCTGTCAGCTAGGGACGTGACGTTTATGCCGATAATCTAGAGTTGCGCCAATTCTATAGCACGGTACTAATTTTATTCCTAACAGTATAGATTAAATTCACGAAGCACGTTTAAGTTGTTTCGTTTATCGTTTTGCCAAATGAAGTCTAAAGTTAAACTGTTAGCTTTACATTTTATTAAATAAAAAATTATAATTAATTTTGGAACCTAACCTAATTGTAAGATTCAATTACCGGATTTTTTTCTGGTAATTTATAATATCTCTGGCTTTAGTACTCAAAATAGATTTAAATTACAAAACATTTTAAAGCAAAACTCATAAGAGTACTTTTGAATATTTTTTACCGAAATATAAACATTATCTTTCCAAAGACAATGTAGAGCGAAGTTTGGTGGTCTAAGTACTAATAAATAGATAATTGACATACATGTATTGTGTATACGACTATTTGTAAAATTTTTGTTTGCGTTACATAAATATGCTACTTTATCTTATCTGGCGTAACAGAACATAAAATCGACAACTTTAGTTCTAAATTATAATTTAAACATTTATAAACCCTCCCCCCCTCTCTCTCTCTCTCTTTATTCAGCCATATCCCGCCCACTGCTTGGCATAAGCATCTCCCAAATATCGCCACGATGATCGGTCCTGTGTCTCTCGCATCCAGGATACTACCGCAGCCTTGACCAGATCAATGCTCCAACTTGCTGGATAAAATAATCTATGAGAACTCAAATGGAAAGCGGAAGACCGTATTATTTAAAAGGCATTAGTGAAAACCTATGTCCAGTAGTGGACAGAGAAAAGCAAGACAAATAGATGTTGATGATAGAATGAAAAAAAAAAACGAAATTATAAAATGTTAGGAAAGGGGAATCGAACCAAAAACAGGATTAAAAGTTCAACGTTTGACCACTGCTCCGACGTTCCTATGCGAAGATTATGCAATATTTTTCTATAGTAAATAACAATTTTATAAACTTTAAACCAATTTCAATATAACGTAAGCAAGGATTATCACTAAGTCGTGCACTTAGTGGGTTTCTTGAATGTGGCACAGAGGTGCACGCTAACACATAATCAAACACCAAAGGGTATTTGGGTTTGCAGTGATCAGAGGTGTTTTCAGTAGTTTCGAAAAAATAATAAAAAAATGTAGTTTTTTTTTTTAATAAAAGTGTTGTCGAAGTTCAGACTATTATGAAGTTATTGAGGTTTTATGAACATTGTGGTAATTCTTTTTGTTTTTGAGGTTTTCTGTGTATTTTTCTCATATTCGATTTCATGTGATTAATCGATTACTCTAACGTCTGAAATGCTATGTAAATAGTTTTTTTTTTTTGCTTAGAGTTTGCTAGTTTTTTTATAGCAGCCAGTGTTTTACGATTTTTTTTGTCGTAATGCTACGTGTATTTCACCTGCCAGTGTAAATTTTCTTACCAGCCAGTGTTTTGTAAACGTATTTAGTGAAAAAGTATTTATTTAAAATATAAAATTATATTTTTGCCAGCTATTAAATTATCAGTAGTAGTTGACTTTATCACATTGTGGAACAATGAATGATATTGCTTTTATTGAATAGCTTTGAACAATAAAAGATTCGACAGTTGTAATTATTCTGTGTAATATATTTTTTTATCTTTAAATCATGTTATTTATCAATCAGTCGTAGATATTCCGACGCGTTACTTTGCGCTATTTTAAAAAAAAAACAAAAGAGTTTTTAGTGTATGTTTTTTTGTGGAAATATGAATAAATCTCAAGTGGATTTTACACAATGGGAGTCAATTTGGAAGGTTCTTATTTTAAGGTAATGTTTTATAAATATTAATGTCATAGTTTTGCGTATACTTAAAAAATCTTTGTTGTACACAAACACAACTAAAGGCTTCACGGATTGGTGTTTACCGCAGTTCCTAGTCGCCGCTAAAATGCAATTTTTCGTATAACATCCTTCGGAATCTCAAATACATTTGTATCTTTGTTTCCAATGTTTACGTGACCTAGAATTTTGAACAAAGAAACGCTGATTGCGTTCGCGTCTTGCTTTAGAAACAAAAGAAGTGGTCCTTGTAGGCTCTCTAACTTTGTAAAAGCGGTGCAGACAGCCCAAGTAGTGCCCTTGACACGAATATCTACACTGAAACTCAATTAGATACCAGTATTTGATTTTATTTTATTTATTATACCAGTATTTAAATAATTGACATTTAAATATGTCTATTTCCAAAATATTAAACGAAAATTTACACTTATCTATGACAGTAGGACTCCATTGTTTTGTCACGTGTATTAATGGTGGTCTCTTTTATGTCAAAAAGAATGAAAGAGATGACAATACGTATATAAGCGTAAATACAGTGGAAACCAACATTAACAGACATTAAAATTCAATATAAACAGGTTAGTTTTGGCATTGAAAATGAACGACCAGTGGCGGTCATTGTCGCGACTAGATCGCTAATTTGACGCACGAAATCATCAGAGTCACCGAAATAATGCAAACACTTCATACTAATATTATAAATGCGAAAGTTTAGATGGATGTTTGCTAGAGTTTGTACCCTAAACGGGTGGAAGGGTTTTGCTGAAATTTGGTATAGATGTATGGTAGAACATAGTCTTGAAGTACGCATGGGATACTTTTTTTAATTCCACGCCGACGGAGTCGCGGGCAAAAGCTAGTTGTTAAATACAATTTATAGCTAGCAAAAAAACATTAAGCGAGATACAATTTTTGGTAACAGCTAGATGAAGAAATTTAGAAGCAAGTCTAACTACGCATGCGTTGCATCCGCATTAGACCTACTTTAGAAGACGTTTTCTCTATTCACAAACTATCCTAAAGTTTGAATTGCGCTATAACACTATCTGTATCAGTACTACTAGTGCCCTCAGCAAAAGTTTTACGGCGTCTTTTTAGCATTTCAAACGGTCTACGTATTTCGTAGACTTGTAACCTTTCTATCCAGTGATCTGGTTGGTCGTATGTCCACACGTTACTCTAAAGTCAAGCCTAATATCTAAAGTTTATGTACATAAGAATTTAATGTATATGTAACGTTTTTCAACTGCTAATATATCGTGCTTTATCAGTTGTTCCCCTATTTACTAATACATAATTATGTGCCGTCTTAATTGTTAATTACCGCACTTACATACATACGAGTACTTCCTTTGTAATAACTACCGAAGCAAAACTATCTTGACTAAATACAAGTTTATTCTGCTAAAGATAATTCAGGTAAATACCTAATTATCTATATGTTGCTTTTTGATCCACGAATTCTCATTGAATTGGTTATTTAAATCATACTAATATTATAAATGGATATGAAAATAAATATATAAAAAAATGGATAGATGTCGCCAAAGGCAGGGACAAGTGGAAATCTTTGGAGGCCTTCACCTGAGAGGGGTCCATGCAAAAGATATGACATCCAGATTTTAAAAAAAATTGAATATAATTTAGATTAATAATTTATAGAAAAAAATAGTATTTAGGACATTTTTGATTATTTATTGAAATAGGTTAAACATTATATGACCGAATTAATTTTTCTAATCTAATATATATGTATGTAATAATCTATAAATGACAATAATTAGACATGTACCATTCAATTTTTTTTTAACTTTTGTAAACTATGGCATGGAATAAAACTTTTTTTTTTTTAATTTTCTTATTTAATATTATAAATGCGAAAGTTTAGATGGATGTTTTTTAGAGTTTGTAGCCTAAACGACTGAACGGATTTCGATGAAATTTGGTCTAAATGTAGAGGATAGTCTGGAAGAACACATAGGCTACTCACTTTTGTTTTTTTTTTTAATTCCACGCGGACGTAGTCGCGGGCGAACGTTAGTCTAAACATGTTTTAAACTCTGGTAACAATGTCGCTGACTTCTGTTATACAAATAACCATTACATTTTTTTTTAAACATGACTCAGGTGTCGAAATAGGCATTGAATACAATAGAGGCCTTGAATTATGTTTGAAGCTGTTTCTGTAGCGACTGAATCGAGTGGTCGAAATGAGTGCAGCGGTCACGCAACGCTGATCACTACTAGCTGATATTTTATTGTAGAAAAATAAATATATTTAGATAAATAGCACACTATATCATAAACTTTCTAGGAGACTGCCTTTTATATTACTACTCTAGTGTCGCGGTTCGCCAGTGTGGAACGCCAGTGAGATACCCTCCAGCGAAAGTCCCGTCAAAATCGGCCTAAGATTACCCGGAACAAAACTGGTTTGCAGATAGATTTGTTTACTATCCACGTGCGTTCACGACGGCAGCTCATCTTAAAATGCACTCCTCAGTGTCACCGCACTGGTGCTGACAGTTTGCGAAATCAGTGTTTCATTTGTCACTTTTAACTTTCCAGAAGCGTATCCCGTTCCCCGTCACCATCGCTGCGCCATACAGAGAGCAGTTCAGAACTCGTCGATGACAAGGTAAAGACGAAGAAGGGATGTCAGACTTTCTATCATTACTAGCTCACTAAACGTACCCACTGAAGGGCTCGGATGCTACCCTAATTTAGAAGTAACTAGGCCATAGTCAACTACGCTGGCATAGTGGATTGCTTCACAGTGGATTGTTTCTATGCAACTACAGATATGAACATAGTAACTTAAGCAATAATATTAAGGTTTTCTACTATGTTAGCGGCTCGGAATATTGTACTCGTCTATACTAGTTAAGAGGTGTTAAGGTATGGGGTGGAGGGTATGCGTCGCCGTGGCAAGCGATAGCGGTCCCGTGGCGCCCCACACAATGGCCAGGAGCGAACGGATGGGTTTAGTGAGGTATGGCCCCAGTATGGGGGGAGAGTCCCATGTAACTCTCGTGTCTGCCCCGAGACACGGAGTATAAATAACGCATTCCCCTTCGGCAAAAAAAAAACCGTCGCCGATTTAATTGAAACGTCCCATTATGGTTCATGCATATCTGATGAAGGCTTATTTTGTTTCCAGTCAAGTGACATCTACATCCAGGGGTCGGGGGACGCGCAGCCAGTGTCCGTAGAAGCACCACTCGCGAAGTCTGATAGCAATAAGGTGGGCAAACAGACTTGCAGTCAGGTTTCACGATCGTTGGGTTGTAAAAATAATTTTGATGATGAATAGCTCTTGTGATTTTCACTTTTTAAAATGTGATGAAGAATTAAATTGGTTTTACAGAAGAATGCTAGTTGGAGTTTAGATTTAGGTAAATGAACGTGGATGGAAGGCTGTCTTTTACTCTGGGGTTACTTGTGTAAGCAATTTTGTTATTACAGACAATATCTCAAACGCCGGTGGTGCTGCGCGGCGGTGCTGATGCTGGATCTCGCACCAAGAAGAAGAGTTGGTACAACGCGCTATATCCAACATATAAGAGCAAATCTGAAGACTTCAAGAGACTGTTCAAAGATCTACCTGATGAGGAGAGGCTTATTGTTGGTATGTTCAACTAAAAATTCATCATTTATTATTCAACAGAAGTACTAGGACAGTAATTAGGAGGACAATAAGACTGTTTGAAAACTTAGAACCACTACTACTAATTCTGGAATCCCATAAAGATAGCCTGGTAAGAATAGAAGAGGTATTCGTAACGAGAGAGAAACGGCGGAATACTGAAACGACATATGTTACGTCTTAAATGTTCTGGCTAAGCTAAACATAGAATTCCATTGTAATTTTGATATCTGCCAGATTGTAAACGGCGCTTATGAAGATGTTTAATATTTGTTTCAATATTCCGCCGTCCGACTTCTACGATTATCTTCTTTCACTGTTATTTATAAGAAAACAGATATTTGGATGCTTATCTGTGTGCAGATTACTCATGCGCGCTGCAGAAGGACATCCTGGTGCACGGGCGGCTGTACGCCTCGCAGAACTTCCTCTGCTTCTACGCCAGCATCTTCGGCTGGGAGACCAGCATGACGCTGCGCTGGAAGGACGTCACCGCCATCACCAAGGAGAAGACCGCACTGGTACGAATACTATTAGACAACGCTTTAGGACTTTGAATGCTCAGAAATTAAGACTACTTTAAACAGTAATTTAAGCTCATAATGTATTTAGAACTAGCTGGTCCTGTGCGGCTTTATCCGCATCAGGTTATAATAGCTTTATTTTATTGTTTACATTTAGCAAATTAATAATTGCAAATGTCAAAATTCAAATGTACAAATGACAATGAAGGTCTTTAACATCGGATCACATTTACAGTACTATGGCAATCTTACTTTCTTGATGTTGGCAGCTTGTAGTTTATGGTCTCTTTCCCACACGAGGATTTTTTCAATTTATTTACCCACGAATTTCAATAGCGTGAAAATATATAGCCTAAGCGTGTCGTAAGTGTAGGGCTTGTTATAAAAGAAATAATTATTTAAAAATATACTGTGATTGCTGACATCTTACGCCACAAAGAAGTGTGTGTTTACGCTTTATTATGTTAGTATACAGGTAAAGTAAAGTGCAAGTTGTTTGCAGGTAATACCTAACGCGATCCTGGTGTGCACCGAGAGCGAGAAGAATTTCCTGACATCATTCTCTGGTCGCGACAAGGCGTACCTGATGCTGTTCCGCATCTGGCAGAACGCGCTCATGGACCAGCCCATGTCCAGCCACGAGATCTGGCAGTGGGTGAGTGCTCCTGTCTCCACATCACAGCGAGCTCTGGACGAGACGAGGCGGACCTGATGCTGTTCCGCATCTGGCAGAACGCACTCATGGACCATCATGGGATCTCTTGGCCAGGACATGGGTCCAGCCACGAGATCTGGCCAAGAAAAGACGGACCTAAAGATGTACCGCATCTAGCAGAATCTTACACTAACCTTAACTGCCCACATATACATAAAAAAATAATCTTAACTCTCTAATGTTACATAACTTTCGCCCGTGACACCGTCCACGTGGAATTAAAAAAAATAAAAGTAGCATATGTGTTCTTCCATACTATCTTCTACATCGATGCTAAATTTCGTCGAGATCCGTTGAGCCGCTTAGGCTAGAAACTCTAACAAACATTCATCCAAATTTTCACATTTATAATATGAGTATGATATTTGAGTAGTCTCTTATCTTTGAACTAATATTATAAAGAGATTTTAATTTTTAGATTTTTTTATGTGTTAAAATAACTCAAAAACTACTGGGCCGATTTCAATAATTCTTTCACCATTAAAAAGCTACGTTTTTGCTTAATAACAAAGATAGTATTTACTACTTTTAAATTTCACGTGGACAAAGTTGCGAATAACAGCTAGTCTTTCAATAATTATGTTAAACTTTACGTTACTTAGGGCCTGTCCCACCAAATTGTAAATTGTCTGATAACTATCTAACGTCTAAAATATGTGATGAAAATACCAGATTTTGTTCCCTTAACTGACGGTGACGTAACTTTTAAGCTATCTGAGGCTCTATCAGCCAGTGATGGGACAGGCCCTTAAAAAACGTAATTAGTTGTTTTAAATTAAAAAAAAATCCCATTATTTCCATTTCCACATATATTTTTATTTCTTATTTTCTATATATTACATTTTACAAGATTTGTATAAAAACTAAATTAAAAAAATAGAGCACCACCGGCTGCGGAATCCGATGACTCAAGCAACCAGTGGTCAGTGCAGACAGTAACCTCCTCACTATGCGTGCGGTTTCTAAAATAACCGCCTTTTGAATCGGGCCCTTAATCCAACTGTCTAGCGAGAGCTTCTTGAGGTGTTGGTCGAAGCTCTTCGCTATTATTACGATTACCAGATATCATGTTTTCCATAAGTCCCAGTTTAGCGTCGCTTGTTTGCGAGTTGAACAAAATATGCGCATAGTGAGCGGACACAAGTGTTGACATTATGGTTACGTTCTGTTATTCATGTTCAGACATTTTGAAATTCAAAGTTTGTTTTGATCGAAATGTGTCGTGGAGTTAGGACATCTATACTTCTATACTATGTCTATGTTTATATCTATTATAATTTAATAAAGCGTAAAAATACACGATTTTGTGGCGTAATTGATGTTTTGACAAATGTAAAAAATGCAAAAAAATTTTTCATAATTTCATGTGCATGAAGTCGCATGGGAGCAGCTAGTGGTTTTATAAATCTAAAGAAAAAATTAAGTTATCATTGATTTTTTTAATAAATTTTTGAAGTTGTAATTTCGACTTATTTTAAAAAAATTGAAAAATCAATATTTCTCGAAAATGGTTAACTTTTTAATTCATATAGGGGTCAAAATTATCACAAATGATTACTATTACCCCCTAATGGGAATACGTCTAATTACCAATAACCCTGTATATAGAATATCCTATAGTAAGGTAATATTCGGATTTCCCTGTTTTTATCCCACGTGTCGGGGTAACCATTTTGGCCAAGGTCGCCATTTAAATGTGCCTGAACTCAGTTGATATCGTACTTCTCGCCGGATGGTGTTGTGATTACATTTTTTTTAAAACAATTATTTATATTGTTTCTTATCTTTCTTTACGTATAACTGTTACGTGTGTAAGGATATTTTTTTTTGTTAAAAGTGGTGTTTTTTGCAAAACTATTTAGTTTTTAAATTCTATAAAAAATGTTTTGTGCGTCTGCGATTTGAAACGATTTTGGTTTTTTTAGTGTTATTCCGCTAGGGATTAAAAGGTACAATTTTTTATTTATCTTATTTATATTATGAATGCGAATGTTTTAATGAATGGATGTTTATTACTACCTAAATTTGACATGGATGTAGGCCATAGTCTGGAAGGACACAGTCTACAAGCTATTTATTTTAATTCGACACGAATGGAGTCGCGGGCAAAAGTTACTTTTGTAATTTGTATATTTTTATCTTATCGTCTATAAAGACTACAGTGTATCAACATTAGTTACTTTTGGCAGTTATTTACATTAGTACGCAATAAGTAAATATTGAAAATTATACAATAGTTACCGGCTGCTATTTTGACAGACGGAAAATGTAAAGATTCCATTTTCTTTCATCTTTCTCTGTCTTGTAATCTATGGTATACCAATATTATAAAGGGGAAAACTTTGTTTGATTGTAATGAATAGGCTAGAAAACTACTGGGCCGATTTTAACCGTTAGAAAGGTAATTTAACTGTGAATAATGTAGGCTATATTCTTTAATTTATTTATTGTTTTTTTTTAATTACACGCGAACGAAGTCGCGGGCAAAAGCTAGTAGTAGGTAAACTTTTAACTCATGTTTATTGTTTAGATTTTAGTTATAACTAGCTTTCGCCTGCGTCGCAGTCCGCCTGGAATTTAAAAAAAGCAAAAACTAGTAGTCTATGTCTTCTTTCAAACTAGCCTCTACATCTATGCCTTCATCGTGATCAATTCAGTATATTAGGCTAAAAAACTCCAACAAACATCCATCCATCTAAACTTTCGCATTTATAATATTAGTAAGAGCGTCGGTGGCTCAATGGTTTAAACACTTGACTTGTAATCTACAGGTCTTGGGTTCGTATCCCGCCATGTACCAATGTGATTTTGGATTTTTCGAATTTTCATATGTACATAATTTACCCGACGTTCTAACGGTGAAGGAAAACATCGTGATGCCTGCACATATCGGCGAAGAAATTCAAAGATATGTGTGAAGTCAACCAACCCGTAGTGGGCCAGCGTGGTTGACTATGGCCTAGCCACCCCTTGTTAGGGTAGACTCCGAACCCCTCGGTGGGGAAGTATAGTGAGCTGGTAATGAAGGACATTAGTAAGGATGTTTTTTTTATGTGTTTTTCTCAGGATGTTTATGATGTAACTCTTTTCTAGGTACATTCTTGCTACGGCGAGGAGTTAGGCTTCAACTCTGAGGACGAGGGATATCCTCGGGACGCGCGGGACGTTCCTGACGACTCCTCGACCACGCAACTGGACCCTCACGAGGTAAAAATAACGTATTCACTGCTGGAAGACGTTACCCAACGCCTCCTTAGTAATTTAAACATTCTGGTTAATGGGAACTGTATACATTAGGGCTATAAAAATGTTTGTTTATTTAAAAAAAAATCAAACTAAATTGTTTACGTTTGCGATTTTTTTTATACTCAAATAATATAAAAAATATATTTTAACTATATTCTATACAAATTCAATTGAAACTCTGCTTGAAATCCGCAAAAAAATTGTTGGATAGGCATTTTTTTTCTATATTTGTAAGGAATATTTTATTTGCACACCGTACGTAAAAATGACGTCATCATGTCTCAAGTTATTTTGTACGATTTGTGAGTAATAGAAGGCTTATCATGAATATTCGTGATATCGCTTTCGTAATATAATACCGGTAAAGTACAAGTCTCATACTTTGTCGATTACGTTACGAATTTGTGTCAACTGTCATAATAGTTCGTGATAGGCTCAAAGATCTCTAGCTTTGAAAAATTAAATTACTGTTTTCTATTACCAATAGGCATGTGAGATAATGTTATCGATTAATGTTGATAAAGTATCGAGATATCGTATCGATAAACAGTCACCTGTGCGTTGCCGCGGACTTGACATGAGCCGAGCGTCGAAAAGAATTAAAAAAAAAGTACAACAAAACATTTAAATTTATGTAAATTGTTATGATACAAATGTTTAGTTTTTGTGCAAGTGCATTACAACTACGACAAAAATTGTAGTTTTCATCGTAACTAGAGATTTCTCTAGTTTTTAGAAGATAGTATGATGGATACTGAAACGACATTTAAATATGCGAAAATAAGACGTTGTAAATAATAAGTAACAATCCAATTTCAAATTCTATTATATGTCGTTCGTCAGATAAGTGATTTCACGTGGTTTTAGATTATTTTTGGTATTCCTAAATTTATGTTAACTTGACTTCGATAGTTATTCAAATTTGTAAAAGAATTCGCGCTAACTTTTTATATCTTTGTAACTGCTTTCGACACTGTATACCCTATGAGGTAAGAAGCGTGAAGATGTGATATATGTTCAGGAGCAGGTGGAGCCGTCTATGGAAGGTGGAGGGGGAGGCGCGCGGGCGCGGGACTTGTCGCCGCTTAGAGGTGAGTCTACACAAACTAATAATTTAAACATCTTATTTCACTCAAATATAACAACTTTTGCCCACGATTATGTTTGTATGCATTAAAACACTTTAATTATGCACACCATCTTACTAATATTATAAATACGAAAGTTTAGATGGATGGATGTTTGTTAGAGTTTGTAGCCTAAACTGCTAAAGAGATCTAGATGAAATTTGGTATACATGTAGAGGATAGTCTGGAAGAGCACATAAACTATTCACTTCTTTTTTAATTCCACGCGAACGGAGTAGCGGGCGATAGCTAGTTAAGATATATTATTGTCTGATGCCTACTGCTTTAGATTGCACACCTTTGTATTGCACAACTGTTTAGTCTCCCTTTGATTTGTATGAGTTTATATTTAGGTGCCTTCACTCGATGTGTAGTTGTGCAACTAAATAGTTGAATTGTCGAAACAATCGACAATCGCACGACAGTTGTGCGATAGTTTAGTCAAAGGTGTGCGCCTGATCTTCAAGTTATGTTTTCTTGTAAATCAAGTGTCAAATTGTGAGTTCAATTCAATTTAATTTAGTAATAAACTGAGTATAAGGGAAGTTTGTACTAATATTTGCCTATACTCAGTTTGTTCTTAAGTTTAAATTTATATCGCGTTTATTTGTAAGGTATAAGTGTAAGTTAAAGAGCGTCAGTGGCTCAGTGGTTTAAGCACTTGACTTGTAATCTACAGATCTTGGGTTCGAATCCCGCCGTACCGATGTGATTTTCGATTTTTAGAATTTTTAAATGTACATAATTTACCCGACGTTCTTACGGTGAAGGAAAGCATGGTGATATCTGCACATATCGGCGAAGAAATTCAAAGATATGTGTGAAGTCAACCAACCCGCACTAGGCCAGCGTGGTTGACTATGGTCTAGTCACCTTAGGGTAGCCTCCGAGCCCCTCAGTGGGGACGTATATTGAGCTGGTGATGATGACGACTAAAAAGTTTATATAATATGTTGCTAATTTTACACAGGATACGAAGTATAATAAAGGGTCATTTACGCATAGTTTAAACCCTTATCAATATAGTTTTCTAAATAAACAGTGAGACAGTTTATAATAATAGAGCCCAGTTTAAATTACAAAGTCGCTAACGAATGCAAAACGTTATCCTTATTTCCGAGAAATCAACGTACGATTTGACAATATATTGCCATCTCTGTTTTTGTTAAAACAAGTGAAAGAGATACTAATATATGTCTGAACGGAGAAAATAAAGCGAATTTTAGTCCGTCGCTTGCGCGCGTAGACACGTACCAACGATCTCGTTCGTAAATAGGAGGTTTTGATAAATAAATTTTTTATTAAACTCTAACATAAATAAAATATCTCAGTTTATTTTATACTAGCTGTTGCTGCGATTTCGCCCGCGTGTAAATATAAAATATAGCCTATGTTACAGATAGGTTACCTTTCTAACGGTGAAAGAATTGTTATAATCGGCCCAGTAGGTTTTGTGTTATTTCAATAGATATAAAAATGCTTTTTTTAATGATAATAGTATAGATTTGCTAAAATGTGGGACACCTATATATTTACAATGCTGAATCGTGCTGTTTCGTTTTATTACAATAATGGTATCGACGCAAACGTGGTGGAGGCGGATGACTTTTTGCTCGTGAATACCGAACCGACGGTTATGTGGGGAGAAGTACAAGAAGGATATGAAGAAGCTCTACCGGCAGATGGTAATTTAGATTAGATACTCCAGCTCTAACCTTAATCAGCTCTTCTCGTCCGGATTCATCCGCGCATGACATTATAAAATAATATTTTATTTATATTAATTATACATCATACACATACAGCTTAAAACAGAATAAGTAATTACAAATAAGAATAATGAATAAAAGAACTTTCTAACCGTAGTACGGTGTACACAACATGACTATAAAAATGCGATATATACTATAGTTTACATTAAGATTAATTTTTGTTTCAAAACTTATGTTTTTGAGATTATAAAAAATAGGAGTCAAGAAAAAATTAAAATTATATTCATGTATTTTTATGATTAATTGCAGTGATCAACGGGTCGGTGGCGCTGCGGGACGAGGAGGCGGGGGACACGCTGCCCACAGACATGTCCGACACCACCGACAGCGAGCCCGACAAACATCGCAAGTGAGAACACTGCACACCCACCTCACACCTAACTCACACCTACCTCATACCTACCTCACATGCATTACACACATACCTCATACCTACTTAACACGCAATCCATACGTCGCTCACGCGTACCGCACACGTACCGCACACGTACCTCACACGTACCTCATAGGCATCGCACACACAACGGACACGTGTATCACAAGTACTGCACACGCAATCCACACGTAGCTCACATGGACTTCATACGTTTCTCATACGTACCTCACACCTACCACACACGTACTGCACCCGCAATCCACACGTAGCTCACACGTACTACCTCATATTTTTAAGAAGAAAATTAGTACCGCACTATAGAATTGGCGCAACACTAGATTATTGGCATAAACGTCACATCTCTAACTGACAGCTGTCAATGTCATGAGGATGATTGATATTCGCGCGCCTTCCTGGCGAGTGGTCTAGTGGAGTGGTTAAATTAATATTGCTAAGTACAATTATATTTATTGTCTAAAAATACATATTTACACCTACCTTATATATACTGCACACGTACCTCACATGTATCGCACACGTATAGTCGAGGAAACTGGCGGTGCACCACCCTAAAAAAATACAATCGTTTGAACACTGAATGTACTTATTCAATTCATGGCATCCCAGCAACTTTTAACCATTCTTTAGTGTTTTAGTTCGATTACTGCATATAATGTGTTGCCGAAATTCTTAACTTGAGTTTTCTTTATTAAAATTAAGTGCAACCTAACAGAAACTTCAGCATTAATAGACTAAAGTAAAGAAGGCTAAGCTACCTTAACAAATATAAAAAAGTACAGTTACTGTACTTCTTTTGTAATTTGTTTTATTAATTTGTAGCGTATTGTATTTCCAGTTGCGGTGAAACGGAGAAATGCACGGCGTCGCACGAGGGCAAGACGCTGCTGAGTCAGCAGTTCCCCTTCAACATCGATCAGCTCTTCACCATGATGTTCACCAATTCGCAGTTCAACTTGGAGCTGCTGACGGCGCGCGACAGCACCGACTACACGCAGGTACTGCCGGGGAAGTAGGCGGTGCTACTTAACTGGTCGAAGGGCCTGTCCCACCACTGGCTGATAGCGCCTCGGATAGCTTGAAAATGACGTCACTGTCAGATAAGGTAACAAAATCCGATATTTCCATCACATATTTTACATGTTGCATTGTTATCAGACAGTTTACGATTTGGTGGGACAGGTCCTAAAGTTTGGTACGCGTGGAATAATAACTAATAGGCTTATCTTGTTGTTTGTACCAACTCACTACTATATAATTTGATATTTGTAAGTAGAGATGTTTGTCTCGTTGCAAATAATAAGTTAATTCAATCTGAAACTTAGTATTCCAACAGTAAATAAAGTTTCTTTGGTTTTTACGTTTTTTTATCCTAAGATAGCCGGCAAGCGATCACTTTAGTTCGCCAAAATAGGGAAAACTCTATTGCCCATAAGTATCAGAAACATTTGCATATTTATTGCCTACCTATGATCAACAAAGTAAGGTACAAAAAGAGAATTCTCCCTTTTCTGTGTGTTCTCTCCTCTGCTCAATGTACTTTTCATATTCTGTCCTTATATAAAGGGTGAGCAGATAATAATAATTTAAAAAAAAACATATAGACGAATTGAGTGCCTCCTTTTGGGAAGTCGGTCAAAAATCAGGCCTCAAACACTGATCGAAGTGTATGTGGAATGACGTCACTTGTCGCGTCTGATGCAATACTAGTTGTAGTGTTGATGAGTGCACTAAGGGCAGTGTGACAGTGGTAGAGCCCGCTTTAACATCTTCGCACTGCAGGGCCGGCTCCCCCCAGTTATACCACGACCACACAGAAAATAGGCGTGAAGTGGAAGCAATTCCGCGTACAGTCTGACGAGTTTGATTCCCTTTCCATTATTTTCTTAAGAGGAAAGGATGGGATGGAAAAGTGGATTTGGCGGTGGAGGAAACGTATAAAAAGGGGAAATGTCCTCTTTATGTGCGTCTTCTCCGTCAAATAAGGGTAACGCATCGCAATTGCGGATGTTTATGGGCAGCGGTTGCTCTCCATTTCGATGGATTTCGTTTGCCACGTTATATTATAAAAAGGGCGGCCCTCAGCATGCATTACGTGTGTCAGGAGCCGTGGCAGACGCAGGGCACGCGCAAGGCGCGCCGCGTCAGCTACACCCTCAGCCTCTCCTCGGGACTCGTTGGTCCAAAGAAGGTCCGCGTTAACGAGACACAGGTAACTTTCATTGTTTTTTTTTTACTTTTGTGACAAATAATAACGGTTAGTTTTGCATTCGAATGTGAGTACCGACTAGGGTTAAAATTGTATGGTCTTCTGGTTTGAATTGTTAATATTTCAGGAATTGGGAATTTCTTGTCATTTTTTGATTAAAAATTATCTTATTAAAAATGTAAATGTAGATATTTAGATGAATGCATGTTTGTGGTTATAATTTCAACACGGTTATACGGATTTTTTAAGAATCTCTTAAGATTAAAAACACATGTTACTAATAGTTTTTTTTTTAATTATTTAAGTATGGTGTAGTTTTGAGATCATATGGTATACATATAAAAAAATTGAAATGTAACATTGAAAGAAAATTCCAAATTTGGCGGAGATTATGTATTTGCATTTTTAATAACGACAATCGCATTTAAAAATATTTGTCTGAAAGCGTTTGTTTCGGTTAATCTCTGAAATTAAATCTGACATATCGTGTGAACTAAAGTGTTTGAACAGGTGATGAATAAATGCTCGAAGCCGGGCGCGCTGTACTCGATAGACGCGACGAGCGAGAACTCGGGCATCCCGTACGCGGACTACTTCACTGTGGAGGTGCACTACTGCCTGCGGCGCGCGGAGTGCGGCGCGCACCTCGCAGTGCTGGCGCGCGTCCGCTACAGGAAGACCATGTGGCCTATGGTCAAATGTACGCCTTTTGCCTTTCGGCCTCAAAAATGCACTGCACAACACATCTTACTAATATTAGAAATTAGCTTTCGCCCGCGACTCCGTTCGCGTGGTTTTGAAAAAAACAAAAGTGAATAGCCTATGTGTATTTCCAGACTATCTTCTAAATCTATGCTAAATTTCATCGAAATCCGTTCAGCCGTTTAAGCTACAAACTCTAACAAATCCATCCATCTAAACTTTCGCATTTATAATATTAGTATGATGTGAAAGTTTAGATGGATGTTTGTTAGTTTGTAGCCGAAACGGCTGAACAAATTTCGATGAAATTTGGCTTAGATATAGAAGATAGTCTGGAAATACACATAGGCTATTCACTTATGTTTTTTTCAATTCCACACAGACGGAGTCGCGGGCGAAAGCTAGTTTCATATAACAGATATTCAAATACAGTATAGCCTTTTACCCTAATAATGCTCTTTATACTTCATTTTGTAGAATTAGTGTTGTTAACATTTGACTTTGTTGTAATTATGTTTTTTCAAGCCCAGTGATTGAAAAGCATTTTTTTATACAGTAAGTAAGGTACCAAAAGAAGAAACTACCATCTGTATCCACTTAAAATGGTAAAGCGATCGCTGCCTAGATATCTACAATTGCAATTCACAAAGAAACACATATAGAAAGGATATTTCCCCTTCTGTATCACTTCTACCGTTAGCTCCACTTTCTCTTCCTTTCCTTAAGTGTGGAACAAAAAAGATTAAAATTAAGCTTCTGGCACACACTCATGGAAACGCGGTATTACTTCCACTTGTTGGCTGTGTGTGATGTTAAAGCGGTCCGCTGTTGCAGCGCTGCTGGAGAACAACACGATGTCCGGTCTGGAGGAGTACGCGCGGCTGCTGGCGGCGAGGCTGACGGCCGCGCAGCCCGCCGCGCCGCGCCACCCGCGCCACCCGCGACACCCGCGCCGCAGGCACCTCGGTAACTATACACAATATTCATATGACGCCAAATAGGCAATATTCAAATGACGCCAAATAGGCAATATGCATATGACGCCAAATAGGCAATATGCATATGACGCCAAATTGTACCAAACTTTTTTTAAGTATACTTTATTGCTATAAAAACATTCCTGCAATTTTTTTTTTAAAAATAATGTGATTTAGTGGCAAAATTGTTCATTAAAAAGTGTCTTTTTTCAAATTCCCTCGCTAAGTTCTAAAACGCACACTATTGGTCGAAGCAAGTGGCTTATCTAATATGGCGTCGCTGTGTTGACAATACACAGCTCATTTACGTTAGTTTATATAGAAATACACTCTTGAAGTATTTTACTGTAAACACGATATCGAAACCAACTTTAAAGTAAAAATAAATAAAAAAAAGTATCAATAATTACCACTTATCTTTACCAGAAATAATAAAAATGAATCGATTTTTGATTTTTCATAACCTTGAAAACCAATGAGATGCTTTGTTGTACTACACATATGTTTATATACTGTTATTACTTTATCTTGACTCCGTAGAGCAAGCTACAACTGTCTCCGGTCCCGTTTTCTTAATTTCCTGAAATGGCACAACGTCTGCTTTTTCTTTCACATGTTGCATATACGTTTTTGTCGTTCTCGTTTTAAAGTCATCGTATCAAATCTCCCAACATCTTTCCTTTTCTGTCTTATTTCGTAATTTCCGATTTGCGATAACCCAATTAATATTTGCTGCCCTTCGCTGCACCTCAAATAAAGCCATGATAGTAAAAAAACTATAGTCATAGTATACGACGGAAACCATAACTATTTCCAAGATCCGAAATCCTATTTGTTATTCCAAACTTTTCGTTTATGCCAAATTACACCGAAATCTGTTTAGCAGTTTACTCTGGAAACTCTTACAAACCATCTAAAATTTCACATTTATATTTGTAACTAGCTTTCGCCTGCGACTCCGTCCGCGCGAATCTAAAAAAAAACAAATTAAGTAGCCTATGTGTTCTTCTAGACTATCTTCTATATCTGTGCCAAATTTTATAGAAACCCATTCAGCCATTTAGGCTATAAACTCTAACAAACGTCCATCCATCTATCTAAACTTTCGCATTTATAATATTAGTATGATTGGTAATTCTTATTTCATTTGAACTTTAATATATAAAATGTAAAATATGTATTTTAGCGGCGGTAAGCCAGGAGCCAGCGGCGCTACCACTGGCAGTGCGGGGCGTGCTGGGCGCGCGGTCCAGCACGACAGCGAGCGGCTCGCGCTGGCTTCCATTGCTGGTGCTGGCATTACTACTCCTCAACGCACTACTGTACTGGCGTCTCACCACCTTACACAATAACACCTTCGATGCTGAAGACCTGCAGGCCAGGTACTACCCACACTGTATATAACATTTTCTTATCTTATTCAACACCTAAATGTCATAGCGTGAGGTTAAACAGCCTTAAACCTTCCTTAATAGTTACACAATTAAATGCAAAAAGAATAAAGTAAATCTGATTGTTAGTTTCAAAGATTATTGAATACAAACATAAAAGTATTGTTTATTATTGTAGAGATTTCACTATTTGATAATGGGTTCGTTATGTACTCATGAATGGCTTAATTTTCCAAAATTAAGTGTCGTTCGACTTTCATTTTTTTGATGTTTTTTAATATGATGTAAGTGTAGGAATTCTTATTAAAAAAAGATTAAAAAATATAGTGTGATCGCAATTACATAACTTTAAATTATTATATTATATTATATTATATTATTATAAATGTATGTTTGCAGGATGCGTTCAGTGAGCGGGTCCCAGATGGCGGACTGGTCGCGGCTGCTCCAGCAGCACACGTCACGCCAGCGCACTGAGCTGCTGGCTTGGCGGGACGCACTGGTGCGCACAGTGGCGCACCTCGCACAGGTACACACTTGTCTACAGTACATTTGCAGCATGCATTTCCTCGTCTACACGTGCCACAGCATGCATTTCCTCGTCTACACTTGCCACAGCATGCATTTCACTATGAATTTAAATACAATAAAATTTAAACGTAAATATTTGAAAATTCGTACTAATCTAGATTTAATACTCATTGCATTAACGTCGTTAACTAATTATTTGACAGACGGAGCAGGAGTTAAGAAAACTATTGGATACGATAAAACCTTCGTTGGAGAAGGCGCATGCGGAGGCGGACGCAGTGCCACCGGACGGAGAGCTCTGAACTCGCAGTGGATGTACCGCGGGAGAGGTCTCAGTAGCTGGTGCAACGCCGTGTCAAACACTATGCAAGGTAACAAAGATAAAGTACATACGTTTTGAACGTTACGTCTCTGATGTTATTGACTATGACATTTTGCAATTTTTTTAATCTGTATTTTTTGTATTAAGGAAAAATCTATTAATATTTTTGGTTATGAACTCTGGAAATCCTAAAAAAGGAATCTCTGTTTTTTGTTTTTTTTTTTTTAATTTGTACCCATGATTAGGTATTTGTTGCGTTTCTGTCACAAAATTTATGAAATATTTGTATTTTTTTTTAATTTCAATAATGCAGTGTTATTTTTAAGTTATTTGTTTAAAAATACGTAGATAACGTAAATAGATATATTCTTGTTAATAGTTTAATGAAAAATTTAAATTTTAACTAACGTTTGGATAAATAAAAAACGTTAGAGAAATGTCAATACAAACAATCATTGCCAAATTATTTAAAAATATATTGTTCATAATGAAAAAGTAATATTGACTGCTAAAACGCTTTTACCATAAAAAGATGGCTTTTTAATTTGTCTATTTTAACGCTTTTTTAAATTTCAAATTAGACTTTTAAAATATAAATTTTTATCATCTAATTTATACGTCTTGATAATTTAAATAATTTATCTAACGTTAAAATTACAAAATACTGGTTTTTAACATATTATCGCCATCTTGCTTTAGTTTAGCTGCCATTTTGTTTTCGACGCCATTATGTCAATTGTCAAATTACGAGAAAATGAAAATATGCTTCGGAAATAAGGTTTTTGACCGACTTCCCAAAAGAAGGAGGTACTCAATTCGTCTGTATGTTTCTTTATGTGTGTTTTTTCCTTTGTAATATTTAGTTTTAAATGTAAATTATATGTAATTTCATTTACACGTGTTTTTTAAATGATTACTTGATATTAAATTTAAGGACAAATTAATTTGTAGAACGCGTGTTAGATTATTTTTAACGCACATTGTAAAGATATTTAGTGTTTAATTTGCTATTGTAATTAAAATTTTCGGATTTTGAAGTAAAACTAATTGTTAGAGAGAAATTGTAGTCTTCTATTATATTCTATTTTATTATGTTTCTTATATGTACTTATAACAATGTTTTCTTTGATAGCTGTAAATCGTAAAAATCTTTGGTATCTGTTGTATTACGTAATTAATTGTCCCTTTTATGTTATTGTTCATGATTCAACATTTTGACATTCTGGCAACCCCTTTTATAAAGCTTTGTAATTGAAGCCGCGTCCCGAATATTTATGTATAAGAATTAAATGTATTTATTGTATGTACACATATATTTATTACCTGTTAAGAATAGAGTGTTATATAGATTGTTAATAAAAATTGTTAGTTGAGAAAATAACTATAAAAACTTACAAATTGTAAATTTTTATTTCATATCGATCTCTTACTGGTAATATTGGTGCTTTTGTTTCTTTTTGTTTGACATTTAATGTTTTTAATCTGTGCCAACCGCTGACCTTTATAAATGGACAGGCTATAAACTGTTTTTAGTGTGATTTTCGCCATTTCAGCACTGATGGAACATTTTAAAGATTTTCGAACTAATAATAAGTTAAAACACGAGATGTCATTTCCAAATAATCGCCAATCCATTTATAGAGATCAGTGTTGCCAATAGGCATCGTACAATTGTAGTGTATATAGTATGTGAAGCATTCCAAGCAGTGATGTGTGTGTAGATTCCTATTAGTTGTATTGTGTGTATCTGCCCACCGCGATTGTCGGCGGAATGCGATGTGCGGTGGACACAACCCTTAGGGTGGAAATTACAATGAATAAAGATACTAACTGTCATTACCCCTAACAGAATAGTGTTCAGTAATGAACAACGGATTAAAAAAAACTATTTCATTTAAATCACATTCGTTTTCCATATCCAAACTATGACTACTAAAAATCAGTTTTTTGCTACAAACAATAAGTCTAATTAAGGGTTAACTTCAACAGACGCGTTTGAATGAAGCAAAAGCCCATCTATTTATATAGCTCAGTTTTTAGTTAAACGAAATTCTTGCCAGTTACTAGTAATTTTTAATTTCTTGGAAGTATTCACCGCACATCGTGGTCGCGGGGCCGTGGCGCCGCACAAAGCGTTCTCAGTATTTCAATAAAAACATTACTTAACAGTTTGTGTTTTCTTTGACTACCTCTTTTTTAACGGTAACCTTTACCAACATTATCACTTTGTACCCACAAACATAAATCCGCTATTATTCGATACAAGGGGATGTCCCGTAACCTTGGACACTCTCATTTCGGTAATTAATTAAAAAAGGGAGCCCATACCTGGAGTGAATAATGTTTTAAAGGGGAAAGTTTGTAATTCTGTATGTATTTGATACACGTAAACCTATGTTTAACTTTTCTCGTAAGAGGTATATAAAAATTCCTTTCTTTCCTATTCGATCCCACCGTCAAACCTTTTCGCCTTTCCATCCTTGGCTTAAAAAAGGGAATAAAACCACGCCTTCGGTTTGCACTTACCAGACGAAACGCGGCGATGCATCTACTTCTCATCTTCGGTCTATGTCTTATTAATATTATAAATGCGAAAGTTTAGATGGATGGATGTTTGTTAGAGTTTGTAGCCTAAATGGCTATGCGGTTTTCGATGAAATTTGGTTTAGATGTAGATAGTATGGAAGAATACATAGCCTTTAGTTTAGTTTTTTCTTAAAATTCCATGCAGACGAAAGCTAGTAGAAGCATAAGGATTTTCACTAATTTAATCTCATCAACAGTGGTTCCCAATAAGTTTTCCACCAAAATTTGCTTTGTTATTTTATATTTAAGCAGAAGTTGTGTTCATATTTATTTTACATGTTAAGTTAACCAAGTTTTCGTTGTACTGGAGCTGCGGGAGCTAGTCCATCAGTGGCAGGCGACGCAGGACAGACGTTAGCGCTCTCTCGTGACAACGGAAAATACCCACTTCTAATATAAGTGCGAAAGTTTAGATGGATGGATGTTAGTTTGTAGCCTACATGGCTTGACGGATCTCGATGAAATTTGGCATAGATGTGGATGAGTCTGGAAGAGCACGTAGGCTTTTTTAATTCAACGCAGACGGAGTCGCGGGCGAAAGCTAGTATGTCAAAAAGTACTCTGTGGTCGCTGCCCTGTGCAGTAAGTAACCAAGTTTACAATAAAGATGTATTTCAGAATGTTTTTAATTTTTTTGCTAAAATCTTAAATGTCCGGTATTGGGGGACTTCCCCCTATCTGTCATCCATTTCTTAAGAACACGGTATTTCTCAATTTACCCAGAATTTGAAGACGGGATAAATAAAACCAAAAATTATTCGTAATTTATTTTATTCAGCATATCCATTACTTACCCGCTTTTAACTCCTCGTTGTCGGATTATGCTTATTTTTCTAGCTACATCTTTAATATGAAATTAAGTGTATCGCATAATCTTTTGACCAATTTACCACTTACGTAAGATTCGCTTGTCTTCATGCGCAGCCTTTTGGTACGTTAGGTTCGGTCAGTGTTGTACACATTCTTATTAGATACATATAATAGTTCACTGTTAACTGAAAATTAGTAAAAATACCACTTACCAACTACTCAAGGGGGGTAAAAAAAATAAAACGAAACATAATCCGACACTGTGTCAAGATTTATTACAAATCCATCATACACAGCGAGTCGGGGTTTGTCTTAGGGCTAAGTTGGGGGTTGTGGGGGGATCACTTGTCGTCATCCTTGAAGACCATGGTGCTGTGGCACTTGCCGCAGTAGTGGCGGTCCTCCATGACGGCCATGAAGACGCCGGCGCCGCACTGCTCGCCGGTGCACTCGCGCCGCAGACGGTGGATCTTACCATTCTCGTCAACCTACAATGTGGGACAACTTAATTTAACAAACATAACTACGATAACTTAAGTCAATGTGGCATTTAAGCATCCATAAGCATCAATCATGCGTAACCAAGAGAGGGAGCACCTTTTGCCAATCATACTAATATCATAAATGCTAAAGTTTAGATGAATGTTTGTTAAGAGTTTATACCCTAAACTGCTAAACAGATCTCAATGAAATTTGGCTTAGACATAGAGGATAGTCTGGAACACAAAGGCAACTCATTTTTTTTAAATTTCATGTGGAGTCGCAGTCGAAAGCTAGTTTATCTCTTAGCATATCTGTTAGATTCATTACTATACCTTGTAAAACCTAAGCACGGCTAGTTTGACCTTCTTCTTCTTGTGCTTGATCTTTTTGGGTGTGGAGTAATTCTTCTTCTTGCGCTTCTTGGCGCCACCACGCAGCCTCAGCACGAGGTGCAGCGTTGACTCCTTCTGGATGTTGTAGTCGGAGAGTGTTCTGCCATCTTCCAACTGCTTACCAGCGAAGATCAACCTGGATGGAGATGCAAAAATTTAAATTGAATTTAGCTACGAAAAATCTTCTAGAAAATAATGAAGACTACATATTTTTGCAGTACCAATATCATTATTTGCTTGATTATAAAGAAATAAAAACCTTTTAAAATAATTACTACCTTTACCTTTAAAACTATTACCTATTTAATTACCTTTTTAACTAGACTTGATGTGATTGGTATTTATCCTTTTAGACAAGTGAAAGTGGTTTAACCTACCTCTGCTGGTCTGGAGGGATTCCCTCTTTGTCTTGAATTTTTGCTTTGACATTTTCAATGGTATCCGAGGGTTCAACCTCGAGGGTGATGGTTTTCCCCGTGAGGGTTTTCACGAAAATCTGCATCTTGGCTCCTAAAATTGAAGATATGTTTTTGATAAAAGGCATTTAACACAAATATCGAAATAATGGCAATGCTTAATATGACTAATATAATACTTTACAAAATATTGCACAATACAAGGAATTTTTTTTATTAAGTTACTTTGTTCTCTAAAGTTAAAACAAAATGCTTCATTATTTATTTCACATGTATTATTCATTAAGATACTGTAATTTCTTTAATAATTAAGAAATGTAAAAAAAAAGTAAAATCATTGTTTTTCACTTTTGTTCTAACAATTTTTCATTTTAAAAGGAATGTTAAAAAAACAAAAACATTGTCACAAGACTTTATTGAAATATTACAAAACATTAAACAAGAAGAATAGCATTAATAACTCCATCATTCTCCGGATTGTTGGTCACCTGTGCATATTTGCCCCATACTACTTTGCCCGCCTGTGTCACAAGACCAAGCTCCGATATATTCACTTCTATAACTGTACCCTTCGTGATTACACCAAGACTTGTGTACATCTGTGAACTAGGGTTCTTCTTAACACCAATAATTGGTAAACAGAATGTCGCCTTCAACTCAGGATGTGTGACATGCGCCTTCTTAAACCGTAGAGCCATCGGCCTAATGAATCTCTCAAACTTTGGTGGTTTCCGTGTGAAATTCTCTCCAACAAATGTAACCTTTGTTACCATTCGTTTCCAAGCTTTCCTTTTAGATTTACCGGATTTTAAGACTTTAAACACCTCTGCATCAGCTTGTGCTCTCACTTTAGGTATTGGTACATCCCATTTTCCAGCTTTCTCTTTGCGTTTCTGTTTAATCATGTTGGATAAAACTTTAGCGCGGGACTGTACATCTCGGTCCAGAAGATAAACTGGCAAAGCTCCTTCAGATACTTTCTCAGTGTTCTGTTTAACATTCTTCTCCTCATGTGCCTTGATTTTCTTCTTCATTTGAATCTTTTCATTGCGACGCTCCTTGTTATAGATCTTAGCCTTGATTCCTCTCAGTTTTCGCGCCTTTTCTGCCCTCTTATGCGGCTCACGGGCTTCCTTCTTACGCTTCCTTTCTTCATAGTCAAGACGTCTACCGTAAAGCTTTTTGTGGCGTTCTATGTATTCGTTCTGCGGCATTGTGGTTGCTTTTACGGCAACTACAACAAAATGTGACTTCTTATGAAAAACTTCAACTTTCAAATGCTAAATGTAACCTCTTCGCTACTTCAAAATTGTAGCAGTTTTCACATTTAATGCTTTACTACGGTTTTTTTAGAGCACCACACTTCACACTAAAGACTGAATTTAATTTGAATCAATAGAAAGTAAATAGATTTTCCCAACACGTCGTGGGCATCCACGTGCAATGTCAATGTTTTAAGGAATTGCTTTAGAAAGCTTTAGGTAACGAACTAAAACTGTAAGGTATTACTTACGTTAACACTATTATAGTTTGGTGTTAAAAGAAAGTTTTAACTTCATAAATTACGGAAAATATAAATTGTTTTTACAAGATTGACAAACTCACCTTATGCCGACACCATGCCACAAGGAAAAGGAAGTTCAGCATAGACAATAAACCAGTTTGCCAGTTGCTAATAAATCATAGATAAAAAATATTTTTGGTTGTAAAAATGTTGTGGAAGCTTTTGAAAAGGTTGTATTTTAACTTTGAGTTTAGATGTTTACATCAGTAACTGTTTGAAAAAAGTAACATTCAAATTCAATACAATAAAATAACATTCATAAAAATCAACATTACTAACCGTTTTAAGGGGAGAACATAAGGTGGAAGGAAACAAGGGACGAAGATCTGCAATAATTTATCCATGAACGTAATTAGAAATCAAGAAGCACCAAAGAAAATGAAATAAAAATTCCTAGATGTACCCAAAAAGAGTTGGATACGAAGAAAAATTAAATATAACATCTGTAATTCTAGTCTATGATAATCAAAATACTTTTTAATCTGACAACAATGTTGGTTTGTCAAGAACTTTTTTTTATTTAGAATACGCAATCTTCATTTCCTATTGGTTGATATTTCGGTAGTTCGTTGTAATTGGTTAGCTTTTGACAACGAAACAAAATATTAACCAATAGCAAATCAGCGAGCTGTTGTTTAATTAGTGTATCAAAAAATTCCACAAACGAGTCGAAACGAGTCGATGTGAAGGAAAACGTACAACCAAAATTTAACAATACTAATCAAACCAAATTATCAATTCATTCGAAACTTAATAACATTAACAGAAGATAGAAGGTCTGACGAATATGAATACAACTGCTTCGTTCTCATCAGGTATGAGTTATTTCTTGTATTTCTTAAAATATACAAAATGGTGTCATATGTTTCTTTTGTATAGGTGTGTTTTTGTAGCGGTTAGTTTTTTTATACTAATGGCATTTCATACACGCTTTTTTCAAGGACAAAGTAGTAGCAAAGTAGTATACTCGTTTTATGAATGGTCCATTGCCATCTAAATTACCTTAAAAACTTATGTTGTCCAGAATATAGATACGAAGAACTTCGTTGTAAATAAAATGGATAGTTCATACTCTTTTTTCAAAACATCAAATGTATTATTGCAAACACCTAAGTGTAGATTTTACTCTACATATTGATGATTTTAACTAAAACTGCTTTGTTTAAAAGGTTTCAAAATAACATTTATACATTTAAAGAAGGAAACACTAAAAAACAAAGATGAAAAAGTCTCAAAAAATTACTGTTTCAACAGAAAACACATAATTTAAATGTTTGTTTCCTGTTGAATTTATACACAGATTGTGGTGTCTATCTTTTTGATAAACTCTTAGTTCTGCAAATATTTTTTTTAATCTACATTAAAAGGTGGAGGTTATATACTTGTATCACTTTAAGATACCTTCATACAGTTGAAGAAATACAAGAAAATTATAGTAATTTGATTGTAAAATCATTTGTTGTGATATTTCAGAACATTCATGGAGCAGACGTTGTTCAACTGAGACAGTTTTCAGTATCCAAGGGAAAGAAACTGGTAAGGAAATAATTTGTTTCATGTTTGTGTTTGTTTGATAAATGTATGTGTTTTTGCATGATGTAAATGTTCTAATAGTGTTGTTTGCAATTATTGGTAACAAAGATTTTTGCACTGCAACAAAATTATTATAGCTTGAAAAATTGGCTTTGTTTAAACAGGTTGTATTTTGTAAAAAGATGAACATAAAAGAAATTGTCAATTTATTCAAAACATATTTTAAATGTTCACATAACTTTTTATCTAGATAACACATCTGTTTTACTTTGCCCTTATCTATCCACAGCCATATCACAATGTTTATGGCGTCAGTGGCCAGTTTATTTATGTGTAAAAAAATTACGATGTTTTATAAAAAAAAACAACCTGTAATGACAATTTTACGCAATTTTTTACCTTGTTTCACTAGTAACATCATTTCGAAGAGAACTTATGAGAAAGTTTTTTTTTTAATATTTTAGAATACAGACCAAACTTCAAGCAGTCATTTATTTTTAATTATAAAGTAGAAAGCGAACAGATGTAATGTTAAACTATGAAATTATTGTTACTCTTTTAATCCTACTGGGTAGACAAGGATAGCAAATGTAAATCTATACTAATTATAAAGAGGAAAGATTTGTATTTTTGTATGTATAGAAATAACTCAAAAACTACTGGACCGTTTTTAAAAATTATTTTACCCATAAAAAGATGATCTTTATCTTTTTTATATTTTAGGCGGACGAAGTCGCGAGCAAAAGCTATATATCGTTTATTTCACAAGAGTTTTTTTTGTAATTAATTGACATAGGAAGTGACTTGGTCTTGCTAATGAGTGCAGTGAATCAGCGCAAAGAAACATGCGCGGACATGTCGCGACCGCTGTCACGATTTCCCGCGCTTTTGTACGCGGCTATTCAAGGTCATGCGTTTCTTTTTACCAAAAAATCTTTATAAAGATTTTTGTGTTAATAAATTTTATTATCTGTGCTAAATTAGGTATAATTGCAAATATCGATGTCCTTTGTATTGTTTTATTATTTAATTATTTATACATAGTTTAAGTAATATTGCATGTAATTTTGGTTAATAATTCGAATTTCTATATTTTCATATTTCATTATCTGTATGGTTTTAGTATATCACATATGTTAGTATTTAATGAATTATTGTCTGTTATTTCTACTTTTCCTGTCTTTTCTTCTTATTTCATTTTCTAATATTGTATAATTTATTGTAATAGAATCGCCTAACATTTTGTATGGATGTTCATTAATGTAAAATAATATTGTCAGATTTATGACATGTGGCAACGGAGCAGCCAAGGTGAGGGTTGTAAGGACATGAAGAATTTACCAGAACAAATCATCAATTTCATCTTAGTGATAATCTCTTATTTCACCGTTGAAACATACTCCTGTGACTAAACTATCGCACAACTTTTTAGTCTCGCTTTGATTTCAATGAGCTTTTTTGATTTTTAGTTGTAGAACTAAACAGTTGAATGGGTTACGAAATAATCGACAATCGCACAACAGTTTTGTGATAGTTTTAGTCAAATGGTGCGCGCTTAGTGGCAGTCTTTTGAAACTTTATTTGGCTGAATATTGAAACGATTCTAAAGTATTTTGCTTAACAACCACTAATTGAAACGCATCCTGATAGATGTCAAAATTTTAATGGAATGAAATGTTTAAGTGTAGCCTTATTTATGTAACTGGTACTTATTTGTCGTTTTAGTGTTCGGTCGTCTGTTTTTTTAATGATAGAGTGAAATTTTGCTATGTAAAAAATATGTCATATTATGCTTATCTACTTTTTTGATAATAAATAGTGACAAAAACTAAGATATCGGTATAATACATATAGGAAAATTAATTAAATCGGAATTTGACTAATTTACTTAACAAAGTCATACCATTAACATATTAACTTTAACAGATTTGGTAAAAGGTTTTGATAGATTTTATTAATATTTTTTCTTAAAGTTTACAGTATAACAATGGTAAAGGCTTTTTTAAGATTTTCTTGTAATGAAATAGATCAGTGATAAGCTTTTTTTCATTTATTTAATAAGTTTGACAATACCAAAAAAAAATATTGTTCACTATATAAGTATATTTGATTTAAAAAATGTTTTTTTTTTATTTTTAAAGTATAAAAGTGATTATTAATCAGGTAGATTAGTTTAGTTTGTGTGTGTTTTAGTCAAAACGTATTTTGTTTGTAGATGTGTGAGATATGTTGAAGCAAAATTATTTTTTTCCCATAAAAAATATTTTTTTACTTCAACATACCTTTTTGTTGTTGTTGCATGCTGATGTTTTGTATAGATATATAATTAATATGATTAAAAAAGAATAGAGTAAAACATATTTTGAAAAAAAAACACAAAATTTTATGAATAAAAAGTAAAAACAGAATATATATAAAACAATGGTTGACAAAAAAAAAATATAGCAGAATCTTTACGATCAAAATGTATAAAAAAGGCTGATGGCAATGATTTAAAAAAAATAGATCACAAAAAAGAGTAAAAAAACGCAAGATCCGATAAATGGCGTACCAGAAATCGACATATTGAGGAAAAAACATGGTAATAACAAAAAAAAATCGCATTATGGCTGAAGGTTGTGGTGTTTGTAGATATTGTGCGTGATACGAGTGACACAGAGTGGGCGAGCAGCGAAGAGGAGCGCGACGTGGAGTACGAGCCGGTGACGGAGCCCGAGGACGACGCCCCCCTCTCCTGCCACTCCTCCAGCGACAGCGATGTACGTACATAATACAAGACATAACGATATATACTAATATTATAAAAAAAAATTGTATTTTTTTGTATGTATTTGAATCACGTAAAAACTAGTAAAAAAACCTTACTGTTAGAAAGGTAATTTAGCTGTTACATAGTCTATGTTTTTTTTATTATTTTTTAATTTCACGCGGATGTAGTCGTAAGCAACAGCTACTAATTACTTAAGGATTAGATCACTCAAAACCGCAATCATCAATAGTTTGCTACAAGATCCCTTAATAAAACAAAAAAAAAATGGGACCACGTGATACAAGATTTAATATAAAACCAAATTAACACGTAATTGAAAAAAACTATTGAACATATTAGATAATCAGATTTATTTATATCCTCAAAGGTATCCGCATCTGGTGTTGCGGATGTCCATGGGTGTCGTTGACCACCTCGGTGTTCTCGATGCCGATTTGCCCCCTTCTGTTATGAAAAAAAAATCAGATAGTATTGTTTGAAGCTAAAACTATTTTATTACAATAATTCAAGATTACAATTTATTTTCCTTTAAATCCAGCGATAGAGTACAGTAGACACTGGATTTATTAAATTTGACCAAGCCAAATACCGCTACAATTACTCCCTTACATTTATCTATGTCATTATTTGGAACTGATTGTTTTCAGAACGAAATAATAAGGACGCAAGTGATAGAAGTATCAATGCGAGACGACGGCGATCTAGTATTCGCTGACTCGGAGCAGACGGAGTCCAACGACAGCGACAGCGAACTGGACTTGCACGATTACTGGCATTGCGCGCAGTGTCTCGCACGCAACCACAATCCACTCTACAGATACTGCGAGAAATGTTTCAGGGTATGTATGCCAGCCTAGCTCTGCCTAGATCCGTCGCTACTCCCTACCATAGGCTCATTGCTACTCCAAATCCTAGGCCTTTAGTGGTCTCATCCCTCCCGGCTGCTAGTAATCTCCTTTTGTATCGTATTGGTTGTTACCTAAGTCCCGTTTATTGGTCTACTAGTCCCACCTCTAGCTTATAGTGATATCCTCAGGCCTGGTACTTTACAGGTCTACTAGTGGTCTCATGGTAGCTACTATAGTGTGTCTAAATAATTTTGACAATTCACTTCAAATTTAGTAGGGATGGGTTAAGCGAAAATTAATTAAAAACGGCTCAACTCACGCTTTTTTCTTCCGGTGACGGCACCGACTAGTTTCGGATCCTTCGGGGATCCTTCTTCAGGGCGAGTATTATTTAACTTTTGTTCGCGGTCGCGTCGCGCCTCGCACTGCGGGCCAGGGCGCGGAGGGCGCGGTTCGAGGGGGCGGGGGGCGCCAAGAGCGTTGTGGCCGCTTCGTGCTTCGGCGACGGAGATGTCGACGGGTTCAAAAATGTTGAAGTGTCGCTATTGTTGTTATTAAAATTTTTATAAATTTTATATATATAGGATCCGAAACTAGTCGGTGCCGTCACCGGAAGAAAAAAGCGTGAGTTGAGCCGTTTTTAATTAATTTTCGCTTAAAGTAATGTCTCACGATAGTTTAAACAATTTAATAGGGATGGGTTGTGTAAAATCAGTCATGAATCTTATCGATATTCGATTTTTATTCTTATAGAAGTTGAAATCGATAGATTGATAGTTATAACTTATGAATTTAAAAAAAAAGCTGTTTTCTCAAACAAATAATGGCCATAACAAAAAATGAGAGTAAACAAATGTTTATTACTACTACAGCCGTAAGGAATCGAATTGGATTTCGCTATTATTCCTGTCATCGCTAAATTCTCCACACTATAATCAATACTAGAATTGTCCTATAAATTAATTAATAAGAAAATAATAATTTTAGTTGAGTTCGAAAATTATTTAAACCAAATATCGATAGTTCAAAATTGTTCGCTGCGTGTTTGTTTCGTCACTACGATACCTGTCTATTAAGTATGGCATTTTCTTTCATAAAAATTGAATTCGATACTTCATATGCGTCATTTATCAAACTAATCTATTTTATTTAGATACATTATAGTTCTATTGTTAGGTTTTGTATTAGTTCTAACCTTAGTCTCTTTTCTAAATCTACTAGTGGTCCCATCCCTAGTCCTGCTACTATTATTATCCACAGGTATGGAACTAGTTCTACATTTATCCTGTTTCTAGGCCAATAATAGTCCCAATTATAGACCTGCTATTAGTCCCAAGTCCGAACCCTAGTTACTAATCTTAACCCTAGGTCTGATACTGGTCCTATCTTGTGCTCGCTGCTTTCATGAATTGCATTAATTCTGTGTCCAGTGAAACAATGTCATAATTTTAGTAAATGTGAATATTCAAAAATGTGTTTTTGTGACAGAAAACAAGGTCACTATCATGGAATGTAAAAAATTGTTATTTAATCTTCGCAATATGCCAACAAAGTATTTAAAATTATGACATCGATAAACTGTGTGTGCACTGTTTTTGTTTTGCGCAATGTTTGTTTGAATTAACATCTTTAGACAATTTTGCAGTTATTTACAGATGACACGCTTCCATTTTTGACAGCACATTTTAATTTCGTCTAGCATTTTTAGGTCATTTTTATTTCATACCTGCATCCCCTTTTTAGATTAAATAGAAAAAAAACATTTATCCAATTCGATTTATTTTTTTCATACTATTATTCAATGAATACTAAATTTTAAAGTGTTTCGAAGCACACTACAATTTTCAATGGCTTAAAAGCATTTTCACATACGAATTTTATATGTCTTTCTGTGAATCTTATTTGTGGTTCGATTTCCACTTTGTATTTTATTTATTATTTTCTAAATATCTACCATACAAAGGTAGTTTATTCTGTCCATAGCAGTAGGAGTTTTACAAATTCTTTTCCTACGTCGTTATTTCAGCCCAGTCCATCTGAACTGCTGCCTTCATACATAGATCTTAGCTGACCTCTGGCTTAGAACAAGGAGTCTCCCGGTACCAAAAGTCGTTTTACCCAACACTGAATTTCTCTTAAGTTTACTAATTAAACTCTGACTTCTTTATTATTTTATATTTTTCAACTCTCTTCTTTCATAGAAAATATCTTTTATTCAAATATTCTGTCTTTTTCCCAATTCCTGGGTTCGATTCTCAGTTAAAATTAACTCCGATTGTTATTGTGTCGCCTTCTTTTTCATATATACGTTTACAACCTGTTTTGTTTGGCTTTAATGTTTGAAGGAAATAATATGTTTGTACAGGTAAGTAGTAAATGGAATTCGATGGCTCCTACGTAGACTATCGTAAGCCACAATTTAATTTTTATGTTTTAAAATTAACCTTTAATATACTTAATTCTGTGTTAATTTGCAAGTAACGTTAGAAAGCCGAAGACCTTAACATTTTTTTGTCTACCTTATGTGTATATTTGATATACTTAATGTTTTTGTATTGTTATATTTATGTTTGAAACATACGATAGTTTACGTAGGAGCCATCGAAATTATCTATATCTCAAACTGTATTGTAAAAGACATAGATGTTTTATTATTTGAATTAAACTGTTTGTTTATTAGCACTGGAAGAAATATACAAGAAAATACGTTTGGAAAAATTGTAATTTTATGTATTTATAATAAAATGTTACTTGATATTTTAGGTACGTAAAAACTTCTTCCCGCCGAGGCCGAAGCGAAAACACAAGCGTAACTCTCTCGAGCGCGAGAACACACGGATAGATCCAGACGTAAATAAAGAGGATATCGTGTCTAGACTAGATTCAGACAATCTAGCGCGTCTATCGCAGGATTCGGGGGTGGAGTCTTTAGGTATCACGTCAGCGTCCAGCCAGGAGTTAGTTCCGAACGAGGCTGGACTTTCGGCTGATGTTAAAACCGAGACGTTAAGCCAAAATGTACTAAGACGGAAACGTCGCGCTGAATCCGCAGATTGTAGGGACAAGCGTATTAAAGTCGATTATTCAGATTCCGAAAGCAACTCTGAGAGCGAAATTAAACCTTTAGTTAAGATGGTTAGTGACCCATCTCTATCGATACAGGAAATAGATTCTGTTAAGTTGTCTAAAAAGGCGATTATAAATTCTATTAAGGAGAACTTGGATAGTAATGACAATATGTGCATAATATGCGTTTCTAAGCCGAAGTCCGGTGTGTTTGTCCATGGTAGGATAGCGCATATTTGTTGTTGTTACAATTGCGCGGTGAAAGTCTGGGCTAAAGCTAAGCGTTGTCCCATCTGCAATTGTAAAGTTAGTAATGTCCTGAAGGCGGTCGTTATGTAGTTGGTAGTTTGTAAATAACTTGTTGGTCGTTTTGTTGATTATACTGGTAACTCGCCAGGTTCTGCTGAAAATAATTATATCCCATAACTTGTACAATGGTTTTATAAGTGTGGTTATATCTTGAATAACCCTTTGTATATTCAGGGTACATGTCTGTTTACCAATTGTTTAATGAATCTAGGTTTAAATCTAGATTTAATGGCTATGTACCTGATCAAATGATCGCGTGGATTTTGTATATAGGAGTAAAAATTGCAAAATACATTAAAATTGTCTAGTTCTTAGAGACGTTAAAAGTAATTTTTTTATAATTAGATTAAAAGTTTTCCACCGAAAAGAGATAATATATTTTTTATGTAAGGTCTAGGTTAGGTCCTAAAATAGCTTAAACACGAAAAAATAAGGTCAAATGAGGTTACGACCTAAATAAACATAACCTCAAAACTTATTTAGTTGTCTTTAGTTTTACATGTATTAGTATAGCAAGTAATACATACGCTTATTTCAAAGTTACATTTAATATGTTTTTTTTCTATTAGGCGACAATACATTCGAGTTTCGTACGGTTTTTGTGCAATAAAATAAACGTCAAAATTTGTCATTGACAGAAATATTGGCGCCAATTTAAAAAAAAATGTCGACTTGCATTAATTTTAGAAATATGTTCCTGGTAAAAATAACATTTATATATTTATTAAAAATGCTTCGAAGATTATAATTATTATTTAACTTTCTACTAAAATCAAGCCCACCATCTTTTCCTACCGCGTAGAGCTTCTATCATTGTTTTTTCGTTAAATTGATTTTATTTCGAAACGTATATTGAGAGATATGAATGTGTATGAGTTCAGAATGGACACTAACGTATGGCAATACTGCCTTTTGTAGTTATTTTTCGTTATAATACGGTTGATATAGACCACTCTTGTAAATAACAAATGAAAAAAAAAGGCAATCGAAAAAGAATATTCGATTTCAATATTTAATTAAAAAAAAATATTAATGAATAAATTTTTTCTTTTCAGGAATATGTTTTTTATTTAACACCCTGTGCCCAAAAAAAAAGTTCTTGCAAGTATATTACATTGAAAAATATGTTGCTATGCACTTTGATTTTGCATAATAAAAACGCGAAAGCAATCATGCAATGGCTCATTAGTTGCAGAAATAATTTTCTCGGAACGCTCCCCCAACGAAGGAGGTCAAAGCTCAGAGATATTACAGAATATGATGAGCACAGGCTCATAATATACTTTAAAGAATATTTTGCATATCCAATAGTTTTTACATTGACATATACTCGTTTAAGACTATATTCTGAAACTTTTGAGACTTAACTCATTTTTAGGCTGTACAGATACCAAGATACTTTAAACTTTGCGTTACGAGCTAAAACATCGAAGAAGGAAGTAAGTAACTAAACATTGCATTTCTTAGTCTTCCGTTATAAAAACAAGGAAGCGAGGAAACCTTAAAACAAACATCTGGTGTACTGTTAGTAATATAGCAAATGTCGATTAATTAACATGGAAAAGAAATTTTCAATAATATAGATAACTAGCCTTCGTCTGCGTGTAATTAAAAAAAGTGAGTAGCCTATGTGTACTCCCAGACTAATCTCTACATCTGTACCAAATTTCATCGAAATCCGTTCAGCCGTTTAGGCTACAAACTCAAACAAACATCCATTTATTCATCTAAACTTTAGCATTTGTAATATTAGTATGATATAAATAATTGGCCCTAAAAAACACAATTTTGAAACCTACACATACACACATAATGCAAATAAAGTAAAGATAAATTTTTTTGGCAAAATAATTTTGAAATACGATGAAATTGGACGCACGGGTCATGACTGTTGAATTTTATTCGAATTCGTAAAAAAAATCGAATTAAAACTGGGAGGGATATCATTTTAATACTTTTAAGGATAAAGTGGATTTAAATTTAGTTAAGTTTTTTATAATTGTTAAGTCTACCAAGTCTAAAATATATATTTAGGCAGCGGTATAAATAAGGACCTATTCAAACACGTGGATGTTCGTAGTTGATTAAAAGTAAAACGGGAGTATACCAAATAAACTTTTTCATGTACAAAAAACATTTCCATTGTTACATTTTCAGTATTTGGAGACAATGAACTGAGCTGTTTTGTGCGTTTTCACAGACAATGGACATGAAAACGGTTGTCTAACACTTAACGTTTTGGTTTGCACACTACATAGCAACAGCATGCTCAAATCAATATACCAAATAACCGGTATTTTTTACAATATTCAATTTACATAATGTTTACGATATTTACTTCAAGATACGCTTTGAAAGAAAAAGCATTTTTAAAACTTTAACATCGCGCTTGAACAACGCAAAGACACGTAAAGCAATGTTACATTTTTGCAAATGACGTCATACGAACACACCGTTACACATAAAGTCCGTCCATATCCTGTCCTAAATTATTCACGATCATGGTGAGCGTAGCGGCGCGTCATGTGCTACTGGCCGTACATCTTTGGCTTACCGTATGAATCATGGACAACTGTTTTTAGTGGTTTAACGAACGATGAACGTCACCTAATGGTATTTAATATTTAAAAACATAGGATAAATATTTCACTGGTCAATTATATGCAATCTAACCGATATAATTAGTTTTTGCTGTTAGTTATATTCCTAGTCAAATTATAATATGACGAAGTTCACAATCGGTCAGTGACATAGATGACCAATTATTATCGCTTTTCTTCAACTATCTAGACATTAATCTTTATTTCGATAGGGTTTAGTTCTAATTTTTTTTTCTTGTTTATGAAGTAAACGTAAATTATGATAATGTTCTCAAATGGGCTTTTTCCTAATAAAATATGAACCGAATATAAGACAAGTAGACAGAAAACATCGTAATAATATCTCAAGTATGAAATTATTGTGACTTAGGAACATACATAACTTTTAATGTGGATAAATGATATGATTGTAAGGTTTGTGGTCGATGTAATTAAGATTGCAAACCAAGGCTCTAGAATTAGGCCGTTGTAGATTTGGGTGTCAGTTTTCAGTAAACGATAACTGCATTAAAATCATTGTCGTGTGTTTGAATGTTAAATGTGTTTTCTTGTAAAATTAGTCGTATACAGTTACTTGAGTTTACGTAAGGAACGGAGATGTGATCCTTGTTAATGACAACCCTTCGTTGAAGTCGCCTTGCTACCCTTCGAAAGTGAACTTGACAATCTCTACGTGCCTGACAGGTATTGCTATGACTAGAATGATAATACCTAATTACTGAACAATGGTGTAATGTGTCGCGAATATTTCCTCTATAATTATTATATTGTTTTCAATATATTGTGAATCGCAAATGAATCATCGCGGACGGACGGTATGCGTACAGCTAAGCCTACTAGGGCTGCCACATGTAATATTAAATGTACTTTTTATTTCATGCTATAATTATTGAAATGCACTTATAAAAGCGAAAATTTAGATGGATATTTGTTGGAGTTTGTAGCTTAAACTGTTAAACGGATCTCGATTCAATTTGGCTTAGATGTATAAGATAGTCTGCAAGAACACAGAGGCTACCTATTCTTGATTGTCTTTTTAAATACACGCGAACCGAGTCGCGGGAAAAAGCTAGTTAATTATAAACATGTATAATGCAATCCTAACTTTATAGCGGCTAGAATTATTCAACGAAATACTGCTTTTCACAAATGTAGGTATCGGTAGGATGATAAGGGAAGCAGGGATGGACTACGTCAGTAATCACTCTTTCCCTTCTATAGTGGGTTCATTGCCATTATGTTAAATGGTTTAATTTAATATTCCGATAATATTGTGGCAGTAGCAGCCCTACTATATGAAGGTGTAGATGTGTACCGGGCGCGCCACCCCCCGCTATTCCCCACACCCCCGCCACCCCCTACACCCGCATGCAACTTCTGTCCGCTGCGCGACGAGCATCGAGTCGTGCCGAGTTCACAGACATTCATTCCGTATTCCGTTCCTCGCTCCGCCACCGCACCAGTCGTATTTCGTCGGCCGAACACAGTGCTCGTTTTATTCCCTTTTATCTCCATAAACTTAGGTAAGTACTTTTACTATATTAATCTTACCTTTACAAAGAATAAAGGTAATTAACATTTCTAATCAATCAAAAGAAATTGGTCATTGTAGACTTGAAATATACCGGCGAAGTTTGACGTGTGAATAACAATTGGGCAATTTGTTTTAATTTATATGATCATTGCCAAATTGTTAGTAGGATTTTATTAAGGAAAAAAGTAATAACTTTCGCATGATTAACGGGACTTTCGTCGGGCGCACGCATGATTTCATCCGTGGCTATCAACGTTTTTTTAAAACATGTTTGCGATAAACGTATTTACTGTGCGTTTTATTGTTCCTTTCTTGAGAGCTTTTTTTTATTTTCTTTATTGTTACTGCGACAAAGACTTGTCGGAGTATTTATACAATAGGAAAAAACATTTTTATACTACCCTCGATTTTAAAAAGTCCGGTTTAATTATTTTTTATTGACTTTCAAGTATAGGTAAAAATAGTTATGTTACGGACCGTTTGGTAGCATGATCTGTGTTTATGCTAATACAATTAGTCGAATGCTCTTGCAATATCGTGTCGTTCAACTTTCCATACTTTTGAATAGCCTGCTGTAAAACGTGAGATTGCCTCTTAAAAAATTAACATTTGTAAATCGGAAAAGTACTTAAATTATTCTTTTCATGATATATGTTTTATAAATTGCTTTATTTCTTGTTTGTGTATTTGAATCTCCGATTTAAAAAGGGATAAAATAAATGTAACAGGCTAAGCACGCCGGCTGTATAACTTGATGACTAAATTTAGACTGTGACTAACACCACATGCTTGACACATCAAAACGGTCGTTTCGAAATAAACATTTAACAATCGGACCCTATTTTTATTTATTTAGGACTGTTTCTGTTTTAAACTGCGTTCTATCAATGACAAAGTAAGGTACAGAAAAGTGCTTTTTTTTAACTAAAACTCGGTTTTAACGTAATGTTTTAATGGATTGGAATGAGGAAATGTTAGTTTTACGTTTCAAAGTTACCGAATTGTTACAGACCATCGGTTGTAACGTTTTGATTCAGTAACTTTCTCTACTTACATGTGTCTGATCGGAAGTTATGACTTATGATTTTTTGCAATATAAAATCATTACCTTTTGGATTAAATCCTAACAAAAAAAAGTTACTGAAAAGAAATCTATTTTTTAGAACCGTGTTCATTTATCTCTTTTAAGGGAGAAGTTTTTTTTACTAAACTTTAACTATTTGTTTGTAGTTTTTTTAAATACTCATTTTACTTCTTGGGTCTGATCCATTCTTGGGATATGGTTTCATATCCTATCGGAGAATATGGCACCCCAAGTTTAAGACATAAAAACTTAAATTAAATTATTATTTTATTTTTGAATTTCCTGTTATTAAGAGATTCTTTGTCATGTTATGATTCACTATTGCGCAGAAATCATGGGCATTGTTCAGTACATAATGTTGATATATTTTTTATATACTTAGACTGGTTTCCGTCTCCATATTGTATGTACAAATATTCTAAAGAGACTCTCCATAATAAATTGTATGTACGAGTATAATCTACTCAGACAGGGGGGTGGGGAGTGAGGTCGTCCTTCTCGCTCCAATCCATTTGTTAGAAAGAGACAAACTCATTTCCCGAATACGAGAATCGATTGCGTGTAGACTGTACCACCCCTATTATTTGTAGATTAGGGCTGCTGCGACAACTCATTGATCCAATGTTGAATGAACTATTCGTAATTTCTTTTTATTTTAGCGTTTTGAAACTATATTTAGTTAGATTTCATACATGCTAACTATTCTTATGTTTATTTTGGCGCTTAATTTGAATTATTGTTACTTTATTCGAATATCACAGTTAACTATGGAGTTATAACTTTAGTAATGTTATTTGGCTTACTACGTTTTTATTGACCGCATTACAGAACTAATGATTTTGGCAAAAAAAGTATTGTGTGTTAATTCTTAATACGTAAAAAAAGTATCTTGTTCCAACACTTTCACAAACTATAAAATTCGTTTCCAAAACATTTTATTTAAAATTATGTGACTTCCGAACGCATCTATATTCTGTAGGCGTTTATACACGTATAAAAAGATAACGTCTACACAATATGGAGGGTGGTTAGGTTCTAGGTACCCTAAGCGTACTGCAGATCGATACCGGCCGAGGGGAGAGCCATTTGGGGGCCGGCGGAATAATAATACTGCGACTACAAAATCAGACGCAGTAAAAACTACGCAATTACTTTTGCGTTGTTTACTGTTGTAAATGTACCGATTGGGTACAAAATAACTTAACTAAATGAATGTTTCAAATAACTTTTAAACATAACCTGTGCTAATATTATAAAGAGGATTTGTATTTTTGTATGTAATGAAATAACTCAAAAACTACTTGGCCGATTTTAAAAATTTCTTTACCTTTAAAAAGGTAATTTATCTCTGAGTAACTTTTTTTTAATTTCATGAGGATGAAGTCTCGAGAAACAACTAGTGCGATATGTTTTCTATTTGAGTCGTAGAAAAAGATTATTTTACGCATTCAATCTTTAAAATAACTATCCAAATGTTATGTTTTTTAATGAAAAAATTAAAATTACTGTTACTCAAATTATTCAATTTGTAGGTTGTTAACGTTCAGTTTATTGGACTTTTAATTAAAACATAAGTTATTTTCTCGCTCAAAATCTTTGCGAAGATTGTGTGATAATAAAAAAATTGGGTTCTTGTTGTTGAGCGTCAGCCATCCATGATGCTTTAGTTCTTAATTGGCTCCACGCTACTTGACGCTCCATAAAGTTTTCGTAGATTTTAAGCTGCATTCTAGAGTACCGGTTCAATGACACTACGGTGTTGCCATATGTGAATTTTTAGTCATCGTTACAGCCATTTACGATTTAAATATGAATTGTTTTATAACTGGCCAATTAAATAATTCAAATGTGGTTATATTTGTTTTTTATTCTTTTTGATATAAAGTGAAAATCGAGCAAATGGCCACGAGAATTTGCAAAATAGCGCAATAATCACTGCCCATAAACATCCGGATTTGAAGATGCGTAGTTTGGGTAGTTGTATTGTAAATCGACGTAGACTGTAAAAAGTAAATGATATTCAGACCAATCAAATTAAATGTTCTTGAGTTAGATACATTGATTGTGCCGGTTTTTATATAGTTAACACCCGAAATAAAATTTCCTTCGTTATTGAAATTATGGACTCAAAATGGATCTTTACTCATGATTTATAATGCAGGTTAGAGGCAAATAGTTCATTGTTTTATATATTCAATTGTTCAATACCATTAGCGGTCAAAACAATAGACAAGGAGTAATTGTGATTAGTCTGTGGACTCAAGATGGCGGATAGACGTGCGTCTCATACTGAAATATGTGACGAGAAATTTTGCATTGCAAAGTATGATTGTTTTCATACCGACATGTCTTTGTTATCTCGTTTGCACGTAATTCTGAAACCATTACAATTGTATGTTGGTATTTATCTTGAAAATCAACGTCTAATGTGATTTTGATTTGATATTTTTTAGGTTACAATTTGTAAAGTGTTGAACTTCGCTCGCTTTTTTAAGTGTAACATTCTTTTGTGTTGTAGTAGGACGTACTAGAATTGATATTAGTCATTCGCCGAGTATACGGCTTGAAAAACCTGTGAAATCAGTGTATACAAAAGATTTAGGTTGATTTAGATATACTTCTTTCATGTTTTTGTAACGTTTCGATTTATTAACGAAATAAACAAATAGTTATTTTATTGTTAAACAGACGTGCAGCAGACATAGCTAATCTTGTTATTGATGTGACGAGACAAGGGGTCCATTGCAAAGGGTAATCGGGAGTGAAGCCAGCCAAGTGTTCAGGACATCGTCTGGGCAATTATCGGCTTCCTGTCGGAGCTCTGCACTCGAACTTGACTTTAAACTAACATGAAAAGAATCATAGAGCAATTTATTGAACCAATCATGTTTTAAAAGTAAAGAAATAATTATAAACCAAAGGCAAAATAAACTAAAACTGCCATTTAATGCTAAAGGCAAAAAAATATCCTTTATTTAATCGATTTGTCTAGAACTTTTTGAAAAAAAATCTTGTTTCCCTTTTTCTATACTTTAGTAAATTGTCTCAAGATTAAGATAATGCGTAATCGTAACGTAATCGTAAAACAACTGTCCCAAATAACACCTTGGCTCAAGCTGATATCGCAAAATACTCGAAAACTCGCAGCCTGAATCATAATAACACTGAAAACGCTTGCCGATTTTAATTCTTAGTAATAAGGTAAATTTGATAAACAATAGTAATTGACTCTATGAAATAAGCAACTAACGTATTTATCTTTTATTTTATAACAAAATTCAATAGCTTTTGACAATATTTTTAAATAAACACGATAACAGTATTGAAAACAAAACGTTGACCTTTTTTCTGCTTTAAAATTTCATATAACTCTCCCAAACGCAAGTCTTAGATAAAAAGGCGAGTAAAACATAAAAATATCATCTAGTTATTGTTCTTCGTTCAGATGACCTATGTATGTGAATATTTATAAATACATACGCTGTACGTAGGCTGCAGTACAGATCTAAATCTGTACGTACATTCTGGAACATGGAGATTTCAAAATGGCGCAGTTGGAGCATGAATTACAAATGTCATCCCTATGCGGAACATCGTTATGTACTGCCAGATCATGTAATGAAATATGTTCAGTAATATATTTAGTTAAATTAACTATCTTCATAAAGACTTACATAAGATGGCGAGGAGACTACTTTTCTTAACGAGGGACGGATGGGAAGGAAAAGTGGATTTGACGGTAGAGGAGACGCATAGTAAGAGGAAGAAGACGCACATAAAGAGTATCCACCGTCGATTAAGGGTAGGCATCGCATCTGCAATTGCTGATGTCTATGGGCAGCGGTCGCTACGCCATTTCGGTGGTTTCAAGTGGCCGCTTGCTCGTTTGTCACCTTATAATATAA